TCTATTAGTTAAAACAATTCCTAAATATTTGACTTTTTCTGCATTTCTATAGAGGAAATTTCTTGAAGCAGCTGTATTTGGTTCTTGGTACAATTTTTGGTCAGCATATTTGTCTTTTTAAAATTCATTTTCAAGCCTGCAACTTGTCCATATTCTTGAAGTGTGTTTACAAGTTGGATAATAGACGCTAAAGGATCTTCCAAAATACTTTCTTGTCAGAGGCCAGTTTAAAGAGGTGATAGGCAGCTTATGTTAGAACTGTTATTGTATATGGAGATAGTTCTAATGTTAAGCTTTTATTAAGTCCATGTATGGTTGCACCCTCAGACCCCTTTGCTTGAGATGGGCCAGGAGTCTCAAGCTTGCTTTGATAGGGAAGGACAATCCTTTCATTTACACAGTGTTAGATACGAGACTCAGACAGCAAGTGAACAGTGATTAACAGCTTTATTGAACACGAAGTCAGAAGAACCAGAACGAGACAAATCAATGGAGCAACAGGCTCCTTTTTAAACTGTCCGGGCTTGGCAAGCCACGCCCACAAGTCAGATAAGGTCCAATCACATACTGTACATAAAGACCAATCTCTGTGCTTCCCTCCAGAACTTCCTTTGTTCTGATAGGTCTATTTACAATACCTTTCTAGACTCAAGCTCATACATTCATTACATTACAATACATTACATTACATACACAACACACAGGTTGCTTGTATTTTTTGGATGATTAATATAACTTCATTTTTGAAATGTTTTAGTGTACAAACAGTGGCCAAGTAACTCCTTTAAAAAGTGTAAGTTGCCCCCTTTCTGACTAGAATAATGTCTGGGAAATGGAGGAATTTTTCCCTGATACAATCTTGGGAGCATATATGGAAGACATTAACCGTTTTCTCCTTACTCAAAGATCCCTTACTTTGATTGCTTTTCCTTAGAAGCTTCACACAGTTCTGAAATAGTATGTCAAACCACATATTTGATATATGTTCCATTAGGTTTGTGACCTGCTGTTAACTCTTTCAGACATAGTCTGTAGTGTTGCTGGCGAATGTGGTGCTTTACTGAAGCTGCCTCATTAGCCAATAAATGACTAGAGATGTGAAGGCCCGGAAAAAAACCGGAAAAATTCGAAAAAAAACCCAGGTTTTTTCCGTTTTTTTCCTGAAGCCTTTTTTGTTTTTTCCCGAAAAATTGGAAAAATTGAAAAAATAAAATAAAATAAATTGACTATGGAACGTTTTATTTTAACATGATGAATAAAATATTTTAAGACAAGGTGTTCAAATATTTTCCAAACCATTTCCAAAATATATCTATATGGTATCAGATTGATCTAATTTCTGTGCACTGAGGACAAGCAAGTCCTAGGTTACAAACTGAACTCTCCAATGCAAGAACAAGATGCATTTCTTACTTTAGGAGGTGCTATTGTCAGAAGAAAATAAAAAGGTTTCAGTTTTGTTTTTGCATGTGGATGGGTATTCTGTTTGTAATAATTGTTTGGATACACTATATTTTAATATGCTAGTTGTGATAATTTCATGCCAAGTAAAAATGTCCATAGTCATATTTTATGTTCCTAAAGTAACAGAATGACTTTCAATCTAGAAAAGACAAAAGAAATGCTAATGTATCATTTTTTTCAATTTTTCCAAAAATTTCCGTTTTTCCCCGGAAAAAACGGGAAAAAAACGGTTTTTTTCCCGAGCTTCAAAATTTCCGGAAATTTTACATCTCTATAAATGACAGGCCAGGCTAAGAGTGATTGTGCTTCACTAGTCCCAAGGAACACTAAGCTGGCAATTAGGCTTGCAGAACATCAGAGTCTCTAATGAAGAAAGCTCTGAGACTATACAGTTGACTAATATAATTGTATGACAGATTAATGTAAGATTAGGTTAAACAGTGTAGTCAGTGTTGAAGTTGCAAATTGCTTTTTTGGTGATGAACTCGTTTATAATTAAAAGTATAGCAACCTGATTGTATTGGGTATCTTCCTGTAACTTCAAGCAAAAGTGTTCAGACCTTTAATGTCCCTTGATTTCCAATGTTTCTGTAGGTCCATTGTTTTTTCTTAAGTGATGTTTATACCCAAAACAAAGCCTTTTTTCTTAACCCTTTAAGAGCGGAGATGTGTCTGTACTGGGTATCCCCAGTGTGTGTTTGTATCTAAAGTTTAAACAAGCAGACTTGATACTGTAAATCAGTAATATACCACATTTTCCACAGGAACCTTGGCCCCAGTCACACGAGCGAGATAATTCGGGGGGGACGTGAGACTTTTTGCTCCTGAGCAAAATGAAGCGCGGTATCACGATCCGACGTTCCCCCGAGACTCCGTGCTCAGGCTGTCAGTCGCTGATCACACGGTGATGGCGAAGCGTGGCAACGAAGCAGTACCACGTTTGTGCGCATACCACGGAGGCTTACAAGAAGAAGAAGAAGAAGAAGAGATTGGATTTATACCCCGCCCTTCACTACCCAAAGGTGTCTCAGAGCGGCTTACAAACTCCTTTCCCTTCCCCTCCCCACAACAGACACCCTGTGAGGTGGGTGGGGTTGAGAGAACTCTGACACAAACTGCTCTTTTTCAAGGACAGCTGTGCCAGAGCTTGTGACTGACCCAAGGTCACATCAGCAGGTGCAAGTGGAGGAGTGGGGAATCAAACCCGGTTCTCCCAGATTAGAGTCCGCACACTTAACCACTACACCAAACCGGTGGGACGCGGACGGGCACCGGATGCGATGGGATACTAGCGCTTCCGCAATCAGACGCCCGCCGCGCCCCGCGTTTTCCAGATAATACTATACTTTCCCAGCTACTTTTTAACTCTGCATCTTCGGCCGGATGCTACGGGTTGGAGACGGGCACGTGACGCTTGCCAGATGTTGCCGTATGATCGCGCCCTTTTAATCCGCCCAGCAGTCGTGTCTCTCGCACGGCAAATTCTCTGTGTGACCGGGACCCGTGTTTAGTTTCCTTCCTAATGGAGTCCCAGAGTGTACAACTTTATTTTCTAATACATGGGTGAATGGTTTTTTTCTGTTCATTTGTTCGCTGTTCTAAGGGACACTGGTGTGGGGACACCCCCTGAAACTTATTGGTTCAGCCCTTGGGGCAATAGATGTGCAATGGGTTTGTGTGCAGAAGAAATGCAGTACGTTCTGCACAGGTCCTTATAATAGTAGGCTCTCCATTCTGCCACACGATGCAGATATTTTGCTAAATGAGTGTTTGGGCTCAGGCATTTTTGTTGGTTGTTGTGTATAGCTGCTGGAAAATGTATAATAGAATCTAGTTTGGTGATTTTCTTTCTGGAACTGACAAATTCAGTAGCCCCGTTTCAGCTTTCTAGGAGTATAATTCTGCAACTTGGCCTGGTTTTGTAGAAGTAAAGGGCATGTGAATGATTAATGTAATTCTTCTGTAAAAGGGTGAGCTATGCAGTTCCTTTCAATTTGCCTGTTGCACACAGTAATTACTACACATACAGGCAGATTTTCATTGATATAGTTGTTTTTTCCTATTTGGATTTGTTGCAAAGGAGAGTGTGATTGCAGTATCCAATAGAGCCCCATCTTTTATTCAAGAAGCAAAGTGGTATGACTAAGAAATCAAAAGCTGTAGGGTTAAGGGTGGTAGCAGCTGAAATTGCTTTGTAGTTTAAATGGTTGTATAACTTATTAAAATACGCTTTGAAATTCAGTTCTATATGCTTTCTGTCATGTTTAATATTTTATGCAGTCATACATATTTACTTGCCTGCTATCATAATACAGTATGTTTAAGGGTCTATGGAAATTTGAATGGTCTTGATTGCATGTATCATGAACTGTGGAAGCTGGCACAGAATCCAATAGTTTGACCTAGATCTTTGGAAAATGAACTTCCATGTTTAAAGACACATTTCTTTTTAGCCCAATACAAAATTATAAATAATGTCAGAAACAAGGAAGCTCCCCCATTACCTATCAAAATATAAAAGTGTAGTGTGTTATAATTGAGCAACCATGCATAATCTTGTTATCAATTCAGATTATTGGCTCCTGTCTAGCCATCCAACATTGACATTCAGCTGTTTAACTAGCCAGCCTACAGTTACTACTTGTCATCAAACAAGAAGATTGCTTTGGTTGATTTTATACAAAATGTGTCTGGCAATAACTAACATATGAGTTATCATCATCAGTGTTCCCTCTAAGCTGAGTTAGTGTGAGCTAGCTCACACTAACTCAGCTTAGAGGGAACATTGATCATCATATGTTTTTGTTCTATTTTTTAGCTTTTTAGGTGGCATATATGTTTTCTAAATAAATAAAATGATCTTATTAGCGGATCTTGATCTCTTGCATAATCCCTACAAGATAATCAGGATGTGAACTTGCTGGACTATACGTGTTTGACTGTTTTCTTGTAAACGTTCATTTATTTTACTGCAAAACCAAACCTAGGAGAATTTTAATATATATAACGGAGTATGTTGCGCAACTCTTTTCTTTATCGCACTATTGTATTTCCTCATTGTGGTGTGCGTTTGTATGTATTATATGGTTTTATTGCTCTGTTTCAGTTTTGTAGCCCACTTTGAGAAAGGCAGACTATATATGAAGTAAATAATAACAATAATAAGAAGGCAGAGGAGGAAATATTTTGCAGTGGAGATGACATTAATGGTACTGAGCCAGTGTGGCGTACTGGTTAGAGTGTCCAACTAAGTTCTGGGAGTTTGGGATTCAAATCTTCGCTGTGCCGTAAAGTTCACTGGCTGACCTTGGACCAGTCACTCACTTTAAGACTAACCTACCTCTAAGGATTGTTTTGAAGGGGAGGATGTACACTACTCTGAGCTACTTGGAGGAAGGACAGAATAAAAATGTACTAAATAAATATAGTAAGGCTACTGTGGGGAAAGTATGTGTTTTGTATATTTTACAATAAAGGACACCTTATCCAGTCATTCTAATATGCAGTTTTGTTTTCATTCTTTCATACTTGTTAAGAAACGGAAGGGGACAGCTAAAGTAGACTTTTTGAAGAAGATTGAAAGGGAAATCCAGCAGAAATGGAAAGATGAGAGAGCATTTGAGGTTAATGCAACAGATGCTGCAAATCAGAAGAGGTGAGAATGCAAATACAAACAAAGCATCAGATTATTTACAAAAAGACATTAATAAAGGAATCAGGTCATTTTAAAGCTTGACAAGTGTATACTGAAGAGTTTTAATCATTCTTCAAGTAGGAAAAATTATAGAAGAGGGAAGGCCAGCATTCCTTTTCAGCATGCTGGAGGCACTTCAGTGGTTAGAAGAAAGAAAGAAATGAGTATCTTTCCAACAAGTATGGTTTGGGGAGGACTTTTAATTCTATTTTTAACATTACCTGCATGATTTGTATGTGTGGCCATTGAATTAAAATACTTGAACTGTTTGGTTATTGTAATAATAAAATGCTTGAAACATCTGCATAAATGACTGTGGTACTGTAATGAAGCTTATGCTTATTACAGATTTTAGGTGATCATCAGGATAATTCCTGTTTAAGTTCTAGTAGCAACATCATAGGCTAGCTAGATGTCCTTTTCAGAAAGCAGCCTTGTGTACTTAGTCCAATGTCTTCTGGTTTAATTGCTGCAGACATATTGGTATGTTTTTAATATTTTGTGTTCTCCACTCAGCAATGGCAAATACTTTGTCTCCTTTCCATATCCATACATGAATGGCCGGCTTCACTTGGGACACACATTTTCTTTATCAAAATGCGAGGTATGAATTTTCCTGTGTTACCTGTGTTACTTCTGTTACCTGTGAAGGCCATACAGAAAGAGAGGAAAAATCTTGGCATAGTCCTTCAGCCAACTGAATGCCCATTACTGTTCTGTTTGGATAATGGCTGTATGAAATGGTATAATTTGTGCACCCTGTTCATTTCTGTTTCAACCTCCAGCTGTGTGGTAGTTGGGGATTATAGCAAAATGTCTTGGGCCAAACACTTGGGCACAGTTGGCCTTTTTCTTCTCTCTAGCAACTTCCTCTTGTCAGGTCTTGTCATCTCCAGTACATAGGTCTTATTGGCTGATAGGCACTACTCTGATTGGCTCTTATGTATCTGTGGTACATTTGTGTTCCCTGCCTGTCACAGTTTTGGTAGAATGGCATATAGAGAGGTGTTGTCACGGCTCAGGTGGGGTGTCACCTGACACTGCCACCACTCTGGATTTAGGATCCCTTGAGAAGGCCCAGAGTACCCTCCCAAGATCTTTAGACCTCCCTTTTTGCCTGAATAATAGACATGAGGACTAGAGATGTGATGGCCTGGAAAAAAACTGGAAAAATTCGGGGAAAACCCATTTTTCCCCTGAAGCCTTTTTTGTTTTTTTCCAAAAAATTGGGGAAATTGAAAAAAGAAAAGAAAAAAAATTGATTACGGAACATTTTATTTTAACATGATGAATAAAATATTTTAAGACAAAGTGTTCAGATATTTTCCTAATCATTTCTGAAAAATATGTATGGTATCAGATTGATCTAATTTCTGTGCACTGAGGACAAGTAAGTCCTAGGTTACAAACTGAACTCTCCAATGCAAGAACAAGATGCATTTCTTCCTTTAGGAGGTGCTATTGTCACAAGAAAAGAAAAAGGTTTCAGTTTTGTTTGTGCATGTGGGTGGGTATTCTGTTTGTAATAATTGTTTGGATACACTGTATTTTTAATATGCTAGTTGTGTTAATTTCATGCCAAGTAAAAATGTCCATAGTCATATTTTATGTTCCTAAAGTAACAGAATGACTTTCAATCTGGGAAAAAAAGAAATGCTAATATAGCATTTTTTTTTCAATTTTTCCGAAAATGTCTGTTTTTTCCTGGAAAAAACTAGGTTTTTTCTGAGCTTCAAAATTTCTGGAAAGTTTACATCTCTAGTGAGGACCAGGCAGAGTAGAACAAGGAAAAGGTTTATTTTATAGGAGGTCAAACAAACAAGGTGCAGGAATAACAACAGTAAGTGGGTGAAAAGAAAAGAAATCAAATGCCCTACTGTGTCTAAATATATACTGTCCCTAACTCACTATCTCAAGTGCCCTTAGATTACTCACCCTTCCCTCAGGATGAGTGTTTCTTCCCACAGCAGCCTTCCTTCTGGCTCTGCCCTCTGGGAAGAAGAACAGCTTTCCCTCTTGCACCAGTTCTTTTATTTCCCAGCCCTCTTCTTCCCTATTGGTCAAAATCGGCGCCAAAACTTCCCAAGGCCTTTTGGGGTTTGTAGGCCCAGCCTCCCCTACTGCTAGCCAGGCTCCCTGGGCCTAGTAGGCATCTGGTGGCACAGCCCAGATCATGACAAGTGTCCTCAACGGTTTTTTCATCTACAGATTTACTTACGTATCTTTCAGAAAAAGAGAAAGACACTTCTGTTAGCACATGTCTTCGTTGAGGGTGGAAGACTTTAGCATATATTAGCTTTATTTGTTTTCTCCTGGTCAAGCCATTAGTTTTTGTTTGGACTTCCAAAAATATAATTTTCTTCCCAGAGCCTGTGAGGTAAAGTAACTGTGGCCTTCAGAATGTATCCAATCCTGTTATGCTGTAAAGATGTGGAGTTAATTATTTTAATTTCTTCTGGCTTCTTTGTAATCACAGCTCTGGTATCATTAATGAATAATCCTAAAAGGCAGGATTAAATCATAAATCAGCCATAACCTTTTAATATTAAATGCTTCTAATTCACTTTCTCATACTTGACTCTTCATCCTGCATACTTTTTTTTGGTGTGTACTGTGTTATTGTTTAATACATGCCATTGTTTCTGCTTCCTGCAGTTTGCTGTTGGCTATCAGAGGCTAAAAGGAAAAATCTGCCTATTCCCATTTGGACTGCACTGCACTGGCATGCCCATTAAGGTAAAATCAGTTTTGGTTTTTTTTGGTGTGGGTAGAAGTGTAGGTTTTTATATCCCACTTTTCTCTACCTTAAGAAGTCTTAAGGAGTCTCAAAGCAGCTTACAATCACATTACCTTCCTCTTCCCACAGCAGTGAGGTAGGTGGGGCTGAGAGAGTTCTGAGAGAACTGTGACTGGCCAAAGTTCACCCACCAAGGACTGGGGAATCAAACCCGGTTCTCCAAATTAGAGTCTGCAGTTCTTAACCACTACACCACACTGGCTTTCTGTGTGTGTGTAAAAAACCATTCAGATTCTATACCAAGGAAGTATACATTCAGTGTTTAGAGGCAGAGCGGTTTCTCATGCGTCTTATTTTAGATTTGGTGTGAATAACTGTGTTGTAGTGAAAGTCTGTGTCGTAGTGAAAAGTTTGGGAATTTCTGCTCTACCAATGTGAGTTGGTTCTTTGGCATGGTAGTTAGTGCTCAGTGGGATGCCAGTGATTTTCATGTGTATCTGGCTTATTTTAAAATTGATAATTCTTATGTTTTATTATTTTAGTGCATTGTTTTTACTTTATGAGCCACCTCAATCAGGCTTCTGGAGACGCTGCACATAAACTTTCTAAATAAATAATACGTAATTACAGTTTGCTTGCCTAGAACTACAGTAGCACAAAAATGAGCTTCACCGTAGAAAATCAACAACAACCAGAACTGTGAAATAAATATCAAATAAATTAAAATACCATCCTTTATATTGTTTTCTTATATATCTAAGTAATCCAATTACAAATTATGTAAACAAGAGACTGTTCACTGAGTATTACAAACTGTAACAGTATAAACTTGAACAGAGGATAATAACTCTGGAGTAGTGAGCAGTAGGTGAATGGTACTCCTCCAAAACAATGACTCTGAAGTAAACTCTTTCAGAAATACAATTGCATATATGCATCTGCAAAATAGTCCAACAATAATGTTTGTAGCTTTTTCTGGTTTCTTTTCTGCTTTCCCAACATGTGAGCCAGCCTAATATCTCCATGTTTCACTTCAAAGCTTTCACAAGGTTTAAAGAAAGATTGCTTCAAAAGCGGATATTCTATCAGTTAAGCGTCAGGACCTAGTCCTCTGTGCTGAATCGCACTGAAAAACTTAGTGTACTCCAAAGTTTGGACAGTCATAGTGAGATTCTTAAAAACCTTTTCTTTGAAAAGCAGATCCCCAAGTCATACTGCACACTTTTTTGGGAAGTGGTTTGGTGGGAGAGGTGCTTTTCAAGGAGCAAACCCAAAGTCCCTTTGACTTGGAGTAATTTTGTACCAGGATTAGGGCCTTTCCAGCTGATCTCAAATTGTATGGAAGTAGTTGTGGTGAGGAGGGTCTTGTATATGAAAGAGCTGCCATCCTTCACTTTCAGTGTCTGTTAAAAAAAAAAGGTTGTAAATTGAAGTGCATCTGTCATGCTTACGTAGCAAAGACCCATAGCAGTCAATAACAGATCAATAACTTGTTTATTTCTGTGGTTGCTAGTCCTCATTTATTGATGATAGTCGGTACTTTTTTCAGTATCTCCTTTGGCAGCTAAAACAAAGAGGGCATATGTTTGAGAATTTGTGAGTTCTCAGTGAACGAATGCAATGAGACTGGTAACTTGCAATTTGTTAATGGTTGGAAATGCAAGGCCAGAAGATGCCAAGTATGGAAATAGTAAAATAATGGATTCCAGCTCTTGGATGTACAAATGATTGCCCTACCAAGCATTTGTACATCATTGCTACCAAGCCGTTGTGGATTTTCCCATAGGCATGTGCAGATAAGCTGAAAAGAGAAATGGAGCTGTATGGCTGTCCCCCAGATTTCCCTGATGAAGAGGAGGAGGAGGAAGAGGAGGAAGAAGCAAAGTGGGATGAAGTGGTCATTAAAGACAAAGCTAAAGCCAAAAAGGTATCATTTAAAGTGTGTGTGTTTTATGCTGTTGTTGAAGGATATGAGTAACTTGAAACTATAGCAGTGCATTTGTATACCTCCTCTTTAAATATGAAAATGTCTCTTCAGGCTGTGTTTTCTTCAGTTATTTCTGTCAAGATTCCTTTGAGTATTCTCCTCCATATTCACTCTGCTTTCTAATGTTCATTAAAGAGTAAAGCTGCTGCTAAGACTGGGTTTTCAAAATACCAGTGGGGAATCATGAAGTCTTTGGGCCTCTCTGATGAAGAAACAATGAAGTTTTCAGAGGCTGAACATTGGCTTGATTACTTCCCTCCTCTGGCTATTCAAGATTTAAAGAGTATGGGACTGAAGGTATAATTGACTTCTAAAATACTATTTTAAAGAACTGTTTGTCTTAAACTGATGGCCAGAGTCCTCCCCCCACTCCCCACAATCTTACATTATTATGTAGACATCTTTAAATAAAATATTGGACTGCATACAATTATTGATCTTGCATAACATTTTAATATGTTTACATATTTGCTGGAAATATTTTGGTTGTGCAACATACCTCTTAATTTAGGATAACCTACAGCAAATACTATGAGTGGATCCCACTTAAGCTCGCACAAGGGGCTCGTAGTAATCCACTGGAGTTTGATATTGTTTTGGTTGAATCTTGCTTATGAACAGAGTGGGGCTCCACTTTTGGAACTTCTGGAAAGCTAGTAGACACAGCCTTTTTGAATATTTTCAGGTAGATTGGAGACGCTCCTTCATCACCACTGATGTTAACCCCTATTATGATTCTTTTGTACGATGGCAATTTCTAACCCTGAAAGAAACAAATAAAATCAAATTTGGCAAACGGTAAGTCTGTTTAAAGTCCCCTCATGGCTAACTTAGAGTATTCCATAAATGTTTTCTTGGAGTTAATTATTTTATTACATCCTCCATCCTGCCTATAGACACCATCCAGTTTTCATGTTTCTTTGCTGTGGGGGGCTTTATGGCTTTTATTTTCAGTGATGAAATGAGGATTCTGAACTTGAAAAACACAGTAGTTTATTAATTGAATTAATGTACCAGAAATGTATTAAAATGGCAAATGATCATTTTGAATTTTTGGTGGTAAATAATAGCTGTATACTGTAGGCTGTTTCTTTGTGATCTCTGAAATGGCCGGAGAAGGAGCCTCCTTCTGTGTCAAACTGTAAACATTTGCTGTTTTAATGCTTCAGTATGTTGAGTTGAATCCAGGAAGCCATGAACAGAACAAGTACATGCAATGGGTCTGTCCCTTGTCCCCCCCCGATTCTTGCAGGACTCTTAGGAAGGGTCTGGGATGCAGACTGAAAGAAAAATGGGAACAATCCCTCTTGCCCTGCAAGCTCTTATTCAAATGGAACAAGGGCTCTTGTACAAGTGTATGTGGGAATCTCTACCCATTCTTTTTCTTGTTGCAGTTCCCCATTCCAGAGTCCCACAACCCTCAGGGTGCTGGAGAGGAGAGGGGAAGAGATTGGTTCTGTGAACTTATTGTGGGAAAGGGGAAGAGAATCCAGTGGACTGAGAACACTATCCAATTCAATCCAATTAGGGACACATAAGCAACTTAATAGCAGTCTGAGAATTTTCCGTGGGAGATGAAAGGAACGGCTCCTTATTCTGAGCAGCAGCTTTCTTGTTAGTATTGTTCTCTATAAAGCCCTAAGGGGTGGGAACTATTGAGGGTATGTGTGTATTTGTTGTGATGTCCCTGCTCAGTCTCTGACACACTGCTGAACACTAAATTAATTTGTTTTCTAGATACACTATTTATTCACCAAAAGATGGGCAGCCATGCATGGATCATGACAGACAAACAGGGGAGGTAATGAATAATTTTTTATATTTTTGAGTGTTGGTTACGTGCTGCCTTTGAAACAAGTACAAGACAGTATAACATCTATACAGATAATGTGTACAGCATAACATCTATACTTAATTATCTTCAGTCTCTAAATGGAAGTGTAGAGGGGTTTGGTAAAGTGTATACCAGATCAGGATCTAAAGAACCATCCAACTAATTGCACAAGTTCACAGGGTCATTACACTTAGTGATTTTTTTCTTCCAGAGAGCTGTTATGCTCTACTCCTGCCCATCTTCTCACATGCGCATCATGCTCCATGGCAAATTGTTTTTGAAGAGAGGGGAGTTTTGAAAGTATTTTGTGATACAGAATCAAGAGACAGCTGTTCAGAGGAAAAGGTCACAAAATTCTGTAGAGTGCTCAAGCCCTTTGGCGAGCTCTTCGGGTCCTGGGCCTGGCTTTGGTTCTTGTGTGACTAAACACTGTGTTGTTAGATTTTTCTCTTGTACTCTGGTTTTATTATGTTGTGTTCATTCATTAGTTGAACAGGCATTGATTATCAGGGATAATACAGAGTCTGGCCTTGTAGCTGTATGTAGTCTAGTCTAATGTATGAAATCTGATATAGTTCAGGACGTTTCATCACATTCTGATGTAGCTCGTGTGCCAGATACAGAAGTGGTGTACTCATTGTTGTTTGCATTGGCTGTTAGGGTGTTGGACCTCAAGAATACACTTTAATTAAAATGAAGGTAGTAGAACCCTATCCTGTGAAATTAAGGTAAGTCTCTAGAATGTTTATTAATCTGCCTGTTACAAAACAAAACTAGTGGGCTCCAGAGGTTATTTAATAAGCCCCTTGCTTACTAAAGATTTAATTGCTGTAGTTGGCAGAAGAGAAACAAAACAATAGCTTATCACTAGTAAAATTATGAGTTTACTGGAAATAAGACATGGTGATGATGGCCGCTGGCTTAGATCACTTTAAAAAGGACATAAACCAATTGATGGAGAGCAGGTCTCTCAACAGCTGTTAGCCACGAGTAATTTCCTCATTCAGAGACATTGTACCTCCAAATACTAGATGTAGGTTCTCAAACAGAGGTGAGCTATTGGTTTCATGCCCTACTAGTGGGTTTCCAGGAAATGTCTGGCTAGAGGCTATTGGAAGCAGGATGCTGGACTAGATGATCAAGCAGGGCTTACACTATGAATTCTTTCTCCTGCATACAGTTGATACATTTAGCCCAAGAATTGTTGTCCTGGATAATGTGGGTATTGATGCAAAGGGTGTGGGCTACTGTTCAGGAAGAAGTCCGATCTTTCTCCCTTCAAATTTTATATTTGTACAAAGAAGGATCTTCCTTTCATTTATCCTGTGCAAAGTGAAAGTGATAAAGAGTTGGTTTGTCTGATACATTTGATTTGGGCTTGCTAATATGAGCACGTATTAAATAATATAATGGGTACTGTGGATATTGTCAGTAGGCTATAAAGTTTCAAATATCTAATTTGAACTTCTCTGATTGTTCTTTGGGGTCTTGTTATATATTTACCTAGATTACCTTTTCTTTCAGTGGCCTTAAGGGAAAGAATATCTTCTTGGTTGCTGCTACTCTCAGACCAGAGACTGTGTTTGGGCAGACTAATTGTTGGGTTCGCCCTGATATGAAGTACATTGGATTTGAGACTGTGAATGGGGATATTTTTATTTGCACACAGCAAGCTGCCAGGAACATGTCTTATCAAGGTTTTACAAAAACCAATGGAGTAGTACCTGTTGTGAAGGAGCTTATGGGAGAGGTAAACCTGTTATAGCCTGTGGGTGAAACGATTTGTGTGGCACTGTTTGCATGTCAGACTGAGGAATTATCTGTTCTTTTAGCATGCTGTGTCAGTGCTGAACTAACCCTTCTTATGCGCACGGTACATAATCCTGTCAATTGAATAATTTCCATTTAAACATTTTACCCATACAGAAAGGTATGAAAATGCTTTTTGGGCAGGCTTCATCAGGCAGGTTGTTCCACCAGGTGGAAACTACCATAAAGAACTTGTAGGTGTGGGTGGCTGTTGAGCTTACCCATTCACTGGAGGGCACCTTCCAAAGGCATTTCTGCAGATATCTGTGTCCTAGGCCATGAAGGATTTCAAAAATAATAACTAATGCCTTAAATTCAACCCAGAAACTAAGTGGTAACCGTTGGGGTACAGCAGAATTGGTGTATTAACTACTCTGTGCCTTACTTTTAAGTCGTTTATACCCTACCTTTCTCTCCAGTGGGAACTCAGATTGTCTTGTTCGCCTCTCCTCCATGTTATCCCCAGAACAACCCTAGGCCGAGAGTTTGTGACTGGCCCAAGTTGACCCAGCCTGCTTCTATGGCAGAGTGGGGATTTGAACCTGGGTCTCCCAGATCCTAGTCTGGAACTCTAACCACCAGTCAGCACTTCTGATAGTAATTGGGCTGCAGCATTCTGTAATGAAATACTTCCATATAACACTTTGTTAGAATCTGGTCCAAATACTGTAGTTTAGGTCGAAAGATCCTGGAGTGAGCTGAAGGCACTTCTACAAGTGCCCTTGTTTTTCTGTTTTCCCTTCTCAATGTAGCCCATTAGTACCCCTCTTTCCCCCAGGCTGCTTCTAAGGGTTGAGGGTGTGGCATTCCCACTTTCAGGTAGATAGAAGTGCCTTCTACTTGCGCATAGGGGATCTTTGGATCCAAGCCCTTTATGTCTATCCTATAGCAAAATCTCATTTGTTGACACTTCAGTTGTGACTGATTTGGGGGGGTGGTTTCTCACCTTTAATAGTTCTTCTCGGTTTAGGAGATTCTTGGAGCTGCGCTGTCATCTCCTTTAACATGCTACAAAGTCATCTATGCTCTTCCAATGCTGACTATTAAGGAAGATAAAGGTAAGTCTGTTGCATCTTTCTCTGCATCAGTTATAACTCATGCTGTGAGCTAATACTTTTCTTTGCATAGATCATTAGATTTATTGCAGGAGAGTACCTGTAATCTTTCTGTAGTCTGGATTCTGGAGACTGATTTGCAAAGGGCTGATGGTTGGATCATTTTGCTTTCTGTCAGGAGGTTTGCTTTCTGTCAGGAGGTTGGCTTAAAGCCTTTTAACTTTAAGAGTGCATGATATAAATACATTAATTAATATAATTGCCGTTTGATCCCGTTCCAAGTCTGATGATTTCTTCCAGATGTATTTTAAAAGATTTAACAACATCTCTGTATTAGTGTTGCCTGTTTTACTGTTTGTACTCCAGGCTTATATCTTTCCTCCCTTCTTTCCTCTGTGCAAATTGACCATTTGATCCTTTGAAGATTCCCCGCCCCCCGCCCCCCAACCTCAGTCCAGTTACCACCAGGGTTCCTTCAGCTGTCCTCCAGTTCCAACTTCGGAATCTGAGGAGGGAGCTGTCAAATGAGTGTGTCAGAAAACAGTGTTAAAAGAAGTATGAGGCTATGTTCTGGTTTTAATGGAATTATATGGTGCTTCAGCATGGGACTGTACAACAAGAGCTGTTCTTAGTTGCAATGTCCACAGCATAGACAAGCTAATAAAAGACATAGCCGTGCTTTTTTACTTGAGATACCTTTTTTGAAAATTTGCCTTTATTTTGGTGTCTTTTAATTTAAACATTTTAAATCAAAATATAAATAGGCTAACCTGTGCTTTTTTGACGTGTTTTTAAGGCACTGGAATCGTTATGAGTGTCCCATCTGATTCCCCAGATGATGCTGCAGCCTTCAGAGACATAAAGAAGAAACAGGTAAACTTCTTAAACCTTCATCTTCAATACTGTTTGCTCTTTTGCATTAAAAGGCAAGTGGGTTGATTTGTTTGTCATGGAGATTTCCATGGAGAACTTTTGTGGATAAAGTCAGACAGCTTTTATAGATGCCAACACCACCCTTATATTGTAGACATTTTCTAGTCGGGCCAATATCACTGAAGAACATAAGAGAAGCCGTGCTGGATCAGGCCAGTGGCCCATCCAGTCCAATACTCTGTGTCACACTGTGGCCAAAACCCAGGTGCCATCAGGAGGTCCACCAGTGGAGCCAGAACTCCAGAAGCTTTCACACTGTTGCCCCCCAAGCACCAAGAATACAGAGTATCACTGCCCCATACATAGTATTCCATCTATACATTGTGGCTGATAGCCACTGATGTACTTTTGCTCCATATGTTTATCCAGTCCCCTCTTGAAGCTGTCTATGCTTATGATAACATAACTTTAATTATTTAATGTGTCCATTGGATCTCATCTCCTGAGAAGTTAAGCAATTAGGCTAGTATATGGTCATCATTCTGAACAAGATCCCCACAGACAGGTATATTTTAGGCATTATGGCAGTGATATGGGAGCTTCATTTCTGATGTAGTTCACAGGGTTGTTAGGGTAAAAGGGAGAACTCTGTACCTTGGATGAAGGACGGGGTAAAAAAGTAATAGGCAGGTAACACAGAAAACCAGCTGTCATCTAGCTGGTCCATGGTCTTGGCTGCTAGCATCTTATATCTTGTCTGATTTGCCCATGTCAAATGCTGACATAATGGATTTATTGGGTGCAGTATGGTAAAAGGCAATGATAATGGGTAAAACTCGTTAGATAATGAAGAGGGTTTTTAAAATTTTCATGTTTCATTTCTAATTTCTCCACAGGCATTCCGAGCCAAGTATGGCATCAAAGATGAAATGGTCCTGCCATTTGAACCAGTGAGTGCAGCAAAGAATGATTGTGCATGATTTTGTCACAACTCTCATCTTCTATATATAGGCCTCTAGGGCATGCCTCTGCAGTTTCCCTAATGTTCATTGCCAAAGGCTGGTTTAGTTTTGAGAAGGTTGGGCAGTGGTAAGCAAGAGACTTATTTGTGAGGAAGAGGAGGCAGTCAGTGCATGTTGGTTGGTAGGACTCTAAGAAGATGAAAATGCGTTCCTTGACTGCTGAAAGATCTACCTGGACATTCCTGAAGAGAAGAGCTGTGTGAACTCATAGTGACTTAGAAGACTATCCCTTTCTTAATTTCTGATGTTAAGCATTGGCTGTGGTTCTGGGGTGGTGAGTGTAAAGGCACCTTCTGTTTTATCCTTTGTCCCATTACGAAGTATTTGCATTCAAAACAGGCTGCAACACTGAGGTCAGATAAATCAGATTCTTGGTCCGTCAAGGTAAGTATTATCTGGCAGTGGCTCTCCAGAGTCTCAGGCAGAGGTCTTACACTTCAACTGTTGCCTGGTTTTTTTAACTGGAGATGCTGGGGATTGAACCTGGGACCTTTTCCATGCAAAACAGAGGCTCTTCCCCCTCAACCACAGTGCCTCCCTACAACCCTTCCGGTTTATGAGACTGGAGTATGTGCGTCCATATGTGTTCATTTTCTCTGTGTTAGCCATGAGAATCAGCAACTTTTTAAAAATGGTGGGAGGATAGAAAGGTGAGATTCTTGGAGTTCTTCCAAACAAAGTTATTCTTTCATGCTGTTCGAATTCTTGCAGCAAGCAGTTTTCTGGTTTCTCCCCGTATCACATAATATACCTGTTGGTTTTAATTACTTTCAGGGCAGAGTTTACACATTAAGCAAATATGGGATTGGGGCTTAATGAAATTATGTGTTAGTGGTAAAGTGTGTGTGTGGGGGACATTTTTAGGGGAGAAAATGCCACTTGACCCCCGGCTTTGCTCATGTCATCCTCCAAGGCTGAAAATGAGCCTGGTTGGAAGAAAAATGACCTGAGAGGTGTGTGTGTGTGGGGGGAATAGGCAGGCTTAAGCTTTCCCACCTTGCTTGGATTCGCTTGTGAAAAGCAGCTCTTCTTTCTCGTTATTCAGCAGGCAGGGGAGGGGGCTGTACTTGTTAATACAATGACTAAGTTTGAGTCTGCAAGTAGTTCCTGAGGAAATGGGCATCCCCTGTCAGCCCCCAAACAAGCCAGCTTGGTATTTGGCTCTGACAATTCATCATGGAGCACAGCATATCCCACCAGCTTGGTGTTGTGCACTTTGTGTAACCTGCCTAGGTATTACCCAGGAAAACCTGATCACTGGATTGCCGTATATCCATCAGAAGGCAGTTTTGTGAAAGTAGGGCTCTTTAGTAGTCCCCCTTTGTCACACAAATGCAGCAGCAATAGAACATCTTTGTTACTATCAGTAAAATAATTTTCTGTTTTGTAATTTTTTTTAAAGGTTTGCACAGAACTGCTGTGGGAACTTGCTTCCTTACTAAAAAATGAATGTTGCATTTATGGTGACCCTGTAGGATTTTCAAGGCAAGAGACTTCATAGGCAGTTTGCCATTGCCTGCCTCTGTGTCATGACCCTGATGTTCACTGGAGGTCTCCTATGCAAATACTAGCCATGGCTGACCCTGCTTAGCTTCCAAGATCTTATGAAATTGGGCTAGCTTGGGCTATCTAGGTCAGGGCACCTGTTGTTACATGCTGCCTATATATATGCAAATAGTTTGGCAGGGGAAGTTGCTTTTGCAGAGCCCTTTGACCCACTGGAATGCTGGTCTGTGTCCCCCCCCCATTAAGCAGATGGCAGCTCTACTGCTGTACATCCCTAGCATAGCCAAGTGAGATCCAAAGGTTGCTGTTGCTTCCAATAGGTATTGGTCTGCCAAGAGGGCTGTGAAGCCAGTCAGGGTCATGAAATATATATGCTTGCGGGACTCCACTTGAAAGTCAGATCTGCCTATCTGTTTTGGAGCTTTGCTTTCGTGTAGGTGCTCTTTGCACGTTGCAGTTACAGAGGTGACAGTGGTGCTTGTGATGCAGGATTTAAAACTAGGTGTCCACTGGGTGACTTTTGGCACATGTTTTATGGCTCCTTCATAGAACATGGAGAGCCCCAATAATTTCAGGCAATCAATATTGAAGGAAAACTTTGTTAAGAAGCAACCAAAGCAAATCCTTGAGTCTTCTAATACTTGTGCTTTACCCATATGATGTGCAGGTTTAAGATTGTTCTATTCGGATGAACTTACTGCTTTTGCTTTATTTTCCCCCCTCTTGTGGTTCACATTCCAACCCATTAGGCTATGAGCAAGGCAGATACTGTTGATATACTTGGAAACCTATAGGGATTGAATTCCTCATAGGATGTTTTATTTGCTTGCACAATTGCTAACAAAGTGCTTTACTGTGCGATTTTATATTCTCAGGTGCCCATCATTGAGGTCCCTGGCTACAGCAACCTTTCTGCTCCGCTGATCTGTGATGAGCTGAAAATCCAGAGTCAAAATGACAGAGAAAAGCTGGCAGAAGCCAAGGAGAGACTATACCTGAAAGGATTTTATGAGGGAGTAAGGGAAAAAAAGTTAAGGTTTTTTAAAGGGTCTTAAGGGAGAAGTGAACGTGATTGGTTTTGTTTTTAACACATGTGAAGAACAGACCTAGGCCTCAGTGAGATGCACACAGTCAGTTTTGCTTTTTTGTCAGGGGGCTGAGAAAGAACTGCTCTGTAATTGGGCTGGTTGTGACTTGTGTGCTTCCTTCTGTTCAGCACATGACCTGACACACCTCATCATATATGGTATTGTTCTGCTACATACATACATACATATTAGACTTCTATACCGCTCCTTCCCGGAGGCTCGGAGCGGTTTTACACAGACATTTAATTGCCTAGCTAGGGCCACGATGCAAGGGGGAGGGTGAATGCCTTACCAGGCACCTACGCAGCAATGGTCTTCTTCTGTGTTCTTTTTTTTTTTTTTTTACATACAAGTGTTGTCCAATAAGCAGCTCTGGCAATAGCATACATTGTTTTTCTTTCTTTTTTTCTTTTCTCTATTCCAGAATTTAGTGTGCACACATTTATTCATGTAAGGAGTGTCCTTCTGTTGCATCCACTGATGCTTATACTGGATTGGGTCCAAAGAAGTGTGTGTAGAACAGCAATAGTGGTTATAATTTACTTATTTAAAATATTTACATCATGCACTTGTTATTGAAGGGTCTTCTGCAGTGCTATAAGTAAGAGGCTTTGTAACTACTTTCAGGCTTACAATGTGTAAGAACATGTTTTGAATTTAGTTTTGCTTTACTCTTGCAATGCTGGAGCATAATGTGTAAAATGCTTCTTCTGTGAGTGGAGGATATGCAGACAAGCACCTTTTAGATCAAACCCAATATCTTTACCAGCTCTCAGCATAAGATCTCTTGCAGACAGGGATGATCTCTGGTCTTGAATTAGCAAGGTATTTTTCATGCCCCCCCCTCCCCCGGCAGATGTGTCTCCTAAAGAATAGGAGCTTGTTTTCATCAGGCATCTAATCTAGAAATCTATTGCAGCTCTTCAAGAGACTATCCTTGGATAGATTTTGTCCCTTTATATTTAAGGTCATACAGCTATTCTCTAGTTTTAAGTCATGGGTTAATTCATGCAAGAAGTTTGTTTTAGCTTACAAATAGAGTTGAGATAAACTGAATTGACCCATTATTCAGTCAGGTGCTCTGACTTCCTTTCCTTCAGATTTTCCATTATTACTGTTACCCTACATTTCCAGTATTCCAGTGATTAATCATAATGTCCTCCTTTTCTCTGTGCTGTGCCTTCCTAAGATCCACGTCTTCATCCTCTCTGCAGTTTCAATAGTTCTCTTTAATTGGGAGGAAGAATTTAGTTTTCCTCTGTAGAAGCAACTTTGCTCCCTGATCGTTTTATGAAAAGAATTAGATCCATGTCTCATTTGCCTTGCAAGAAGTAAAACCTCTGTTCCTTTAAAAATTATTGTGTTTAGTTAGGTTTGTGGAAATGGACTTGCAGGCATTTTCTGGAGGAAAGGGGAGGGGAAACAGATGCTAAAATTCTGAAACAAATCTGCAGTGATTTGTCTTTTCAGGTAATGTTGGTGGATGGATTCAAAGGCCAGAAAATCCAGGATGTCAAGAAACTCATTCAGAAGATGATGGTAGACAATGTGGGTAGTGGTTGGTACTAGTTTTTGAGATTATATGGTAAATTTCACAACCCCATTTTGCTGCCTTGTTTCTAGCGTTCTGGCCACATGACATGAAACAGCACTAAATCAAGTACTTTGATTTTGGTGTAAAATAAATTATTACACAATCTGTCAATCAGAGAGGATGGTACTTGGTATCCTGCAGAACTGTCCATTTTCTTTTGTGAACTAATCTATTAAAGCTTGCTCACCAAAGGCAAGCTTGTGTGACTCTGACAGATCTTTTATGGTGGAGAAGAGGGGTGCATGACACTGCTGAAGGTGACAGACTGCAGTAACATTGTGGTCCCTAAAATCTTGTATCTAGAACTTTGGAAACAAAAGAGCTTCTTTACTCCAGTAACCCTGCGTTCTGAATTCATAGAATATGATAGTTTATCTATAGTACTTACACATTTCTTTCACAAGAGGGCAGTGAAAGTGCTGTGAGTCCTGACTTCTCTCTTGATTTCTTGGCACCATGGATCTTTAAGCCATTCATCATTGTGGAATTGGTTGATGTTTCATATCCATCTTAATTCTTCATTGTGGGCAGTCCTCATGATGTACAAACTTGAGCTTTGTAATATATCTTTTAAATGCATGTAATGGTTATTAGTGCCCACCTACACATGGGAAAATTTAGGCACTGGCTAAAAACCACATCGTGTGGGTTTGAGATTTGTACCTGCAGTCCTGCCTAATTTACCAGCCAGAACACTAGAGCATAAGTTGGGAAAGTTAGAAGGCTGAGTAAGAATTCAGGATTTGCATGGCAAATCTACTACCTTAATAAGTTAATAATGAATCTTTATTCAGGAAACTCGCTGCGTGTTAAAATAAACAATATGGGGCAGTTATCCAACCCTAACGTACCCAAAGATTGCACCACATCTATTCAATTTATATCTAAATGACTTCGTCCCAGGTTTGCAAAACATACCCACTTGTGCACCGTGTGTGGGAAACCGACCAGTGCCTGCCCTGCTGTATGCTGATGACCTTGTCTTATTATTGAGAACTCGGATTGGCCTAAAACATGCCACAAATGCATTTATTTCCTACTGTAATGAAGAGCTGCTGGAGATAAATGAAGATAAACCCAAAATTATGGTTTTCACAAAATCAACAAGAAGATCAAACAAAAGATGGAAAATCGGAAGGTACAAATTACAACAGGTCAATGAATTCAGATATCTAGGAATTGTTTTCCAGCTGAACTTATCATGGTCCAAGCACATTAAATATCTTAAACAGAAAGCTGACCTAACCTTACTAGCCTTGAAGAAGTTTTTCTACATCCAAGGAGCACAATATGTGCCAGCGTTCCTGAAAGCATACAAGATCTTAATACTACCGTGCATACTATACAGTTCCCAGATCTGGTTCTTAGGTCCAACAGAACAACTTGAAAAACTACAGCAAGCCTTCTTCCATAAAATATTAACTTTACCACCATGCATCACTTCTGCAGTCATAAGGCTTGAGTTAGGCCTCCCAAGAATCTCAACTCTGATCTGGAGGGCCATAGTTAGTTACAATTATCGACTGTTAAATGCTGAAAGCCTTCCAACCTTTACCATACTGGCAGAACATGAACATTGCTGGTCAAAATGGAATGATGTTGTAGATGCGAAAATAAGACAACTGGGCTTAAGGAAGACAGAGAATTTAACAAAAAGAAGACAAACACTACTCACAGAAAAGTTGCTCCAAAATGATTGGGAATGCCCTTGAAACAGATGCTAGACGAAAATGCTCCCCACTTCATCTAGGAATTAAATATTCCACTAAATTTGACCTGCCTCTCTACTTAAACATGTTGACCATTCCAAAATTGAGGCGGTCATATATGATTGCACGCTGCAATGCGTTTCCAACAGCTCAGATGAAAGGCCATTTTCTCAAGACCCCTCTGGACCAGCACTATTGTGACTGTCCTTTGATAAAACTTGACTTGCTGTGTCATGTTTTCTTCTATTGTCCAAAACATGCAACAGCAAGAGAAAGATTCTTAAGAAAATGGCTGTCGAAATATTCATCTTTTCCTGATGCATCAAGATTAAGGCTACTTCGGAGCAGCCTCTGCCAAAATTGCATCATGGGTGTGGCAAATTTCTGTTTTACTGTTCTTTTAAATTCCTATTTTTTTCTTTTTTAAAATAGTGTATGGTCTATGGGCTACTAAACCTTAGATAAACTATGATGATGACCAATGTTCCCTCTAAGCTGTGGAGTCTTGTGAGCAAAAATTCTACTTTGTGAGCTACCGGCATCAAAACTGTGAGCGAGTGATTTGGCTACTGCAGGAATTAGTTTGCTCTGGAGCCCCCCTTCCTGAGTGAAGGCAAAAATGTGTGAGCCGGAGGCTAAAAAACTGTGAGCGATTTCACACTAACTCAGCTTAGAGGGAACACTGATGATGACTACCTCAGTCCCTAAACGTCCCTTTAGTTATCATGGCTGAGTAATTCCTATTGCTTCCCTTTTTTTCAGAGTGAAGCAATTATTTATATGGAGCCAGAGAAGCAAGTTATATCTAGATCTGCAGATGAGTGTGTGGTGGCTCTCTGCGACCAGTGGTAAGTTAAAAATTAAGCATAGCTTAATTAGCCCCGTGGCTTTTTTAATGTCTGATTTTTGGCATATTAGATTTTTTTAAAATCTGATTTTAGGTACTTGGACTATGGTGAAGAAAATTGGAAGCAACGGGCTTTTGAATGTTTGAAGATGCTCGAGACGTAAGTTTATTGTTTTTTTTAAAATAACACCATTCTTCCAAGGAGTTCCAGTGGTTCTCCCGTCCTCTATTTTGTACTCAACCTTGCACAGCAGATTTGGTTGAGAAATTGACAGGTTCAAGGTCATTCAGTGAGCTTTTTGTCAGAGTGGGAATCTGAACCTAGATCTCTTCAGTCTGATAGTTTAACCACTAGACCACACTGGCTCTCTTGTAAGGAGTAGGGAAGGTGTGGGCAGTACCGAATCAGGAGAGAAAAGAAATATTTATGTTCTGCCTTTTCCAGATTTTGTGAAGAAACAAGAAGAAATTTTGAAGCCTCTCTAAACTGGTTGCAGGAACATGCCTGTTCAAGGACATATGGCTTAGGTATGGAGAGTAAAAGTTTTCTGTCTTATTTTTTCTTTTTTAACAGGACTCTTTAATTTTTTAATCAGATATTTTTACAGAATACATTTTGTGGTTGGCACATAGTGGGACAATAAGTACAGAAAATAATTACCTGTGAGTTTACATTAGGGCAGTGCTCAGTTTTTCCTGAAGAAGCACCTTCTAACAGTTTATAGTATTGCAATGGGGGTATTAATTTGGAATGGTATGACAAACCCCTGTCACTTCCCAACTCCCAGGCAGATTTTCCCACCCAAAATATTTTTAACTCCCCTCAGTGACTGAGCAACCCTTCAGTAGCATGTATTTCTTCTCTGTTTTATAAGCTTTAACTGTCCCACCCTGTCACAGTTATTAGTTTAGGCTCAAGACCCAGCATAGGAACTAGAGGGAATACAGGAGCTGTCTTATTTTAAAATACCCTCATGAAATGGCACGTGAAGCAAAATTAACATTCAAACAGAATAAAGATTTCAAAAACAGGCAGGGAATATATAAATATGAGGATTCAAGATATAGAAGTTTCTGAGGTAAAACTTTCAAATATATATACAGAATTGAGGGTTTTTTTTGAACAAACAAGAGAGTGTTGTAGCTTATTATATATTTCAACTGTTACACAGAATCTTCAATATAGTTTTTTACAGAATAGCTTTGTCTTAGTGCTTCTAGGTTTCCCCCTTCAGAGATCTAGGTTTTCCCTTTTGATATTATAGCTTTTCACCAGTGTTCCCTCTAAGCTGAGTTAGTGTGAGCTAGCTCACAGCTTTTTAGTCTCTGGCTCACACATTATTGTCTTAGCTCAGGAAGGATGGCTCCGGAGCAAATTAATTTATGCAGTAGCCAAATTGCTCGCTCACAGCTTTAATGCCAGTAGCTCACAAAGTAGAATTTTTGCTCACAAGACTCCACTGCTTAGAGGGAGCATTGCTTTTCACTATCTTCTGGGGTGTCTAAGCTCTTCCCCTTTTATCACAGACCAGGGTTCTCTTCCTTACTCCTTTCTACTGGCTAGAAGTTATTCTTCTTGTCCCTATGAAACAATAATGCCTTTTCCTGTTTGGCTTGTCTGGGAGTTCTCTCTGACTCCTCAAATCTCCTGCCAGATTCCTCTTCCAGTACTATATGTCTTCATAAAGCAGTGTTGTAGCTTTCTTGACTGAGAATCTGAATCCTCCCTCAGAGTAGTTTTAGCATATCTCAGACAATGGAGTCCCTCTTCTTCTCTCTATAGAAGTACTTTTCTGACAATTCCCTGACAGAAATCACTGACTCCCAAAGTCTCTTCCCTCAGAAACCAAACCCTTTGGCTACTGATCCGGTTTAGATTTCAGACAAAGACCAAAAGGTGTGAATCAAAAAGTGAATGAATCTTTTCCCTCCAGAACAGCTGTTTTATTTCCTCTCTAAGCTGATGCTGGCCAATCAGAGAGTGAGTAGAGCAGCCAATCCCAAATCTCTTCTTTCCAGGGAAGATTAACTCGTAACCTCCCTGACTCTCTGTCCCAAGCAGCATTTTAAAACCTGCTTTGTCTTGCAATCCGTCACAAACTGATTGAGGGTGGAGTTCATCCATGTGACTTCACAATGAAGAGTTTGCATTCCTTTTGTGTTATCCATCTAAGTAGTGTCCAGACCTTTTTTTCTTTCAAAGATGGTGATTCATACAAAAATGGTGAATTACTAACATAATACATGCAGAGACTCTGTAATTACCAAAGCAAGTGCCTGATGAGCTGTGTCAACTAAGAAGTTTAAGAACTATAAACTCAGCAATTCACTCTCTCCCCCCACCCCCGTAAAGCCTGGAGGTTGGTATGCTCTTTTGTGCTTTGTAATGAACATGCTTTGTCATTCTGTAGGAACTCGATTGCCTTGGGATGAGCAGTGGTTGATAGAGTCTCTCTCTGACTCTACTATCTACATGGCTTACTATACAGTTGCTCATCTACTGCAAGGAGACAATCTCCGTGGACAAGGAGAGTCCCCATTAAAGATTAGGTAAGAAGGGGAAGGAAAGAATACTGTGGTGTTTGGGTTTTTCCCCCATTCTTGGAACTAGTCAGCTCTATACTTCATATAACAATGAAGACAAAGATAAGCCCCAATAGTAACACCTCAGTTTGTGTTTGTGTGGCAGGTGGGGAGGCAGAATGACAGTGGACACTCTCATAATTTGAGGTTGCATATGAATCTCTTTTCAGTGCAAAGTTGAGGAAGTGGGGGTCATGCAAATTGATTGATATTCATATCATTTCTGATGTCTCAGGGAACTAGGAAAATTATTGAGAGGGGTGCCAGTTGGCTAGCAGTTTCTTGCTGCCTCTCTGTACATAGTCCTAAATAGGCAAGATCAGCAATCCTGCCAATTGTGCACCCCTCATTTTACATACAGTAACCTTTTCTGTGTTTTCATGGACTTGAAGGCTATTGTTACAGAAAGAAAGCATTATTTCGGTGGACATGTACTAAAGCTAAAAAATATTGGATACAAATACATACAGCTATTCAGAAGATTTTAAAGATTGATATACAGCTGAAACCAGAGACATTTTTGTTGGGTGTGACTAATGGACAGTTAGAAAAAAACACATGGAACTTTATTTTTGTATATGACAGTGGTGGCAAGATTATTATATGCTCAGAAATGGAAATCTTCAATATTACCTACAATAGAAGAATGGCTGGTAAAGATGGTGGAACTTGCAGAGATGGCCAAACTTACTCTTTTGATTAGGGAAAAGACATCTACATTTATTGCTAACTGGAAGCTCCTTATAGACTTTTTCCGTGGAACAGAAAAAGATGAATTGGTGATTTATAGTTTTGGAGAATAAGAGAGAATAAGATTATAGATAAAGATAATAGATAAAGAGAGCTCTATTATGTAGAGAAGGTAATTAGAGAATTAGGTAGTGTCAGTCGTAGACAAAGACTGAAAGATATCCCCTTATTTTCATTCTATTTTTTAGGTTTTTCTTATCTCCTTTTTTATTCTACACTTTGTGCTTTTTGTCCCCCCCCCCCCTTTTAAATGTATGTTGGTTATTTCAAGGCACTTTTTCATGATAATGGAATTTCAGCTTCTGGCTTCCAACAGTAGTGTCTCCTGCAAAGTTATGACTAGTCAACTATGCTGTAGAAAGTTGGGAGCACCTGTTCTCTTTGCTTCAAAACGTCTGAACCGGTTTTGATGGTTCAATTAAGTGCCCTTAAGTTATGGTAACTCTTACCAATCAGTTGCAATATAAATTTGGGGGATCTCTGTGACGTGGTAAAACCACATTCAGAAAAGAGGTTTGAGCAGGACAATTAAAGTGGAGAAGTGGCTGAGATTATTTTTCATGCAGCGACATTTATTTTCGAAGTAGCCGTAGTGTGCCTGATGCTTCTGACTGAGCTGCCCGGTGGCTGTGTCTGTCTTGAAAGATGGGGATGAATGCCTCGGGACTGCCTCTCTCAGTATACCCCTGGAAGAGTGTTGCACTCTGGGAATAAGAACTGTCTGGTGGTCTCCGGCCTGAGAGATCCGGCTGTCCTGAACTAGGGCCAGGGCTTTTTTGGCCCTGGCCCCGACCTGGTGGAATTCTCTGCCTGAAAATATCCTTGCCTTGTGGGATTTACTATCTTTCCACAGGGCAATGCAAGGCAGAAATGTTACACCAGGCATTTGGTTGAAGACAGCGACAGGACAGTATAAAATCTGGCAGTCTCTCACACACACACCACCCTTTACGCACATCCCCCGGTGGCTTGTGGAATTTAAAATCTTCCGCCGTATTGGAAAGTGTATTGTTTTATTTGTTGATATAAGTATAGGTATTTTAATGTTGGTTTTAACTGCATCATTTATTGTGCTTGTTCTGTTGTAAGCCTCCCTGAGCCCTGCTTGCAGGGAAGGGGGGGGGGCTAATAAATCTAATTTAATAAGTAAATAATAAGTAACTAAATTTTTTGCTTGGCCAGTCACTATGCTCTTTAGTTCTGCCCTGATGTTCAGATCAAAGGATGTAGCTATTGAAGTGCATGCAATGCAGATCTTTACTTGAATTTGTTTTTCTTCAGTGTGGAGTCTTAACCTCTGTTTTATTTTGGAAATTCACTTAATCCCCTTGAGTTGTTCAGCCAATCAATTGCACTAACAATATGTCAAAAATTACATGTACAACTGCAGGCCAGAAAGACTTTAGAATGAACCATCACTCAATTAGCACGTGGATCTTAATTTTTCCTACTTGTTGCCATTCACTGATAGAGATAGTTGGCAGTCTCTTCTCTGTCCACCAGGAGGCATCATCACTCAATGTGTGAATCTTCGTTTTCAATGCAGTAAAATTTACTTTTTTGTTTTACTTATTAAAAGATATATACCTCTCCATTCCCTTTGGTTCAGGGCACTTTTCAAGTAATAATTATAACATTACAAATGAAAATCAAATCAAATAAAAAACCCAAATAGCTCCCCCATTCTGTTTTTCGTATTCCATCAAGTGCTTTGACAAACAAACGAGCTTTGCCGCACCACCTAAGGATCTCCCCAGCTAGGAGCTCTCCTCCTAGCTGGGGAGCCCGTTCCACAGAGTGGGAGCTGCAGTGGAAAAGGCCTGGGCTCTGGTTGGTGCCAGGCAGGCCACCCTTAGTACAGCCAGTAGGTAGCAGCCTGAAGTCTGTAGCTTGTGCACAGGAACATATGGGAGGAGGTAGTCCTTCAGTTACGTGGGCCCCCAGCTGCGAAGGGCTTTAAAGGTCATAACTGGCACCCTGAATTAAACTCAGAAGCAAGCTGGCAGCCAGTGTAGCTGTTTTAAATATGTGCCAATTCGGCCCTGACAGTAGACAGTAATCAGGCTGCAACATTCTTCACCAGCTGCAGTTTCTGGGGTGTCTTCAAGGGCAGCCTAATATCAAGTGGATTGCAGTAATCCAACCATTAAGTTACAAAGCATGCATTGGATACATTTGAGGAATTAAAACATTGGTAAGCCAGATGCAGCTGATGGAAGGTGCTCGTGGCCACTGCCACCCACTTGCTTTCAGGCAGCAAGTTCCTAACCTGCTCTGCAAAAGCCAGCTCCCCCTCCATCCAGGACAAGAGGATTCCTCCAAAGCATCAGCCTTCCTGACCGTCATCACTTCTCTCTTGTCTGGCTCCGCTTCAGTTTATTCTGCCGTAGCCACCTGACTGCTTAATGCTGTATTGGCTGTGTTCCTCAGAGTGTTTCCAAATATTGCAGTTGCCATTAAAAAGGACTTTAAATGTCTGATATTTAAACACTCCAAATTATTGCAAAGCTGAGATGGCCGCTGGAGATTTCCTTGTGTGTGAACTTTATTCTAATGGTCAAGGTTGGTACTAGGGCCACTGGGGGCGGCAGACCAGGTTCAGAATTGCATGGGGGGACTTGTAGGTGATTTGTTGCGGGAACAAGCGTGTTGTTCTGAGTCTTAACATAGTGTGCTGAATGTGGGTGGTGTATTTGTGTAGTTCATACAAAGGTAATATTCATACAGCGGTTTTCAGTTTGAGGAGTCAAGGGATAATCTCTGTGTGCCACTTAACATTGTCTATCTTCCAGTAAGTTTCGTATCCACTTCCTCATTTTTATCACAGTCTTTTAAGCAGCTTTCAATTTAACTATATCTTATCTATTTGGAATGTTTCTAGAATTCCTAAAGTTGGTTTTTTGCTAGATTTCAGCTTTCAACTTGTTTTTAGTGTAGATTTTTTTAAGTGCAGGGAAGATGGGAAAAGCAAGGAAATTCATGAAACGTAGGGGAGATATGACCCACCATGTGTAAATGACGGACTCAGTCAGATGAAATACAGAGGCCAAGTAGTGTATGCTTTGTTAACATAAGGGTAGATGTCTGTTTAGCATGACAGATCCTTAAAAGTAACTTTCACTGTATCTCCCTCGTATTTTTTCTCTTGATGTTACATATAGACCAAATCAGATGTCGAAAGAAGTTTGGGACTACATCTTCTTTAAGAATGCTCCATTCCCTGCAACAAAAATCCCGAAGGAAGCGCTGGATAAACTAAAGCAAGAGTTTGAGTTTTGGTATCCTGTGGATCTGCGAGCTTCTGGCAAGGACCTTGTTCCAAATCACTTGTCCTACTATCTCTATAACCACGTGGCCATGTGGCCAGATCAAAGGTTGGTTTGAAATAAAACCAAGACCATTAAAGTGTGTTTTCTCAGATGTATTTATAGAAATAGCCACTCCCCCCCCCCCCAAGAGTTGAGTACAATGCAGGAGTCATTCCTGGTACGTTATGCCATATAACTGACCGGACCTTGAGTCCAAGCATCAACTAATTTGGAGCATTATTTCTCTCATATTCTGTTAATGTTCTGTTGGTGTGTATTTAGGCCATTTTTTTAAGCTTTAACACATATGCTGAATCACTTGTGATATTTAAGGATATTGCTTTTTTAGAAGCATGCCCCTGTCTGTCTAAAACCAGATGCTTGGTTTAACAGTAACTATTAAAAACTGTTTTTGTCATCTAATGCAGAGAAAAATGGCCTCTAGCTGTGAGAGCAAATGGACATCTCCTTCTGAATTCAGAGAAGGTACAACATTTTATTTTGTCTGTATTACAGATTTGTGATGGTTAGACCTAACAGAGAGGCCAATCTTATTCCTGTTTCAGAAATCTTTCAATGGTCACACTTTTCACTGCACAGTCTTTTAGTGGCATTCATCCAAGCACACAGTTCCAAAGGCTTAAGGGCATTCACATTTTCAGAAGGGGAGGTGGCCTTTTTTTGCTAAACACCTCCCCCCCCCAGACCTCCTGCTTTGCCTCCTTTTCTTCAGGACATGCTGACCCCCATGAATGAAAGTGAAGATGGCTGAGTGTCAGTGGGGACTACCAAGAATTAGAAGCTTGAAAGTTCTCTTTCAGGAGTTCTCCTGATTATTGGATGCACATTGGTATATTGAAACACCTGATTTCCACTTGCTTTCCATTTTACTACCTTTCCAAGGAGAAAATGTAGTGCCCAAGGATTTACACGTTTTGATTAACCATCTTGACAACTAAATCTTATTTTTCTTTCAAGAGTTTATTAAAATCTTCGCTGTCTCTCTGTGACCAGTAAATATCTCAGTAATAGTTTGAAGGACAGTTTATCTGCTACATTTTACCTTGCCCTTCAAGTTACCTCAATGCCCCACATACATGGTTCTCCCCTCATTTTGTCAACACAATAGCCATTTGAGGTAGGTTAGACTGAGGGAAGAGCAGCTGGCCCGGGTTCACCCAGTTAGCTACAGGGCCAAGTGGGGATTTGCACTTAGGTCTTCCCAGTCCTGGTCTGAAATTCTAATTCTTATGCCACGTATAGTAAACGCTCTTTAATTGTAATCTGTCATGGAGCACTTGATCTTACCTTTAGAACCCAGCATTACTTAGCAGTGTAGATAGGATCCAGAGGGAGTGTCTTCCATTTTAGCCTAAATCATCAGACGATGGATGAGACGATGGTGTAGGGGGGAAGGGTTCAGGTTTGTTAGGCACTGGGATACTTTTTAGAACAAGAGGGAGCTGTACAGGCGAGACGGTCTCCACTTGTCCCGAGAAGGAACCAGGCTGCTGGCACTTAAAATCAAAAAGGTGGCAGAGCAGCTTTTAAACTAAATATTGGGGGAAAGCCGACAGGAGATGAAAAGTCTCTGGTTCGGGTTGGCTCATCTGAGAGAGGTGAGGGGGTACCGGTTGCTTTTCTACAGGGAGGTGGATTGAAATTGTCCACAGAGGCCATGGCTGGTGACATGGACTGCCGGACAACGACTCGAGATAGCAAGAGGAAGGATGCAGGCTTAACTTGTAAGGGAAATTACAGCTGTTTCTATACAAATGCTAGAAGTGTCCGAGGTAAAATCGGGGAGTTGGAGTGCTTGGTGTCGGAGGGAAAAATAGACATTGTGGGTATTTCTGAAACTTGGTGGGATGAGGAAAATCAGTGGGACACAGTGATTCCCGGTTATATATTATATCGGAAGGATAGGGGGGGAAGGGTTGGAGGTGGGGTAGCTCTGTATGTCAGAGAGGGTATAAAGTCTAGAAAGATTGAGAGGCTAAGTGAATTGGATTCGCTTCTGGAAGTTCTATGGGTTGAAATAGGGGGGCCAAAAGGAAACTTAACACTGGGAGTTTGTTATCGCCCACCAGATCAAAAGATAGAGGAGGATTATAAAATGATGAATGCCTTAAAGATAGCAACTAGACAAAAACACTGTGTAATAATAGGTGATTTTAACTACCCACACATTGATTGGGTCAATATGTGTTCTAGCCGGGAAAAAGAGATTGAGTTTCTAGACACTCTAAATGACTGTGCTATGGAGCAGATGGTCACGGAACCTACCAGGGGAGAGGCGATCCTTGATTTGGTCCTAAGTAACACTCAAGACCTGGTGAGAGATGTAAAAGTGATTGCACCGCTTGGAAACAGTGATCATAATGTTGTTGAGTTCATCATTTGTACAAATAGAGAATTGGCCAAAAAGACTCACACAACCATTTTTAACTTTAAAAGGGGTAATTTCTCTGATATGAGGGGACACGTGGGGAGGAAACTGAAAGGAAAAGTAGAAAGGGTCAAAACAATTGGGGAAGCTTGGGATCTATTTAAAACTACGATCCTAGAAGCTCAAAAAATATATATTCCGCAGGTTAGGAAAGGCACAAACAGGTATAGGAAAAAGCCTGCATGGTTAACAAACAGAGTAATGGAGGCTGTAAAAAGTAAAAAGAATTCCTTTAAGCAGTGGAAAGCTAGTCACAGTGAGGCTGATAAAACGGAACACAGGCTATGGCAAATAAAATGCAAGTCTGAGGTCAGGCAGGCAAAAAGGGAATATGAGGAGCATATAGCAAAAAACGTAAAAACCAACAATAAAACTTTCTTCAAATACATTAGAAACAGGAAACCAGCCAGGGAGGCAGTGGGGCCCTTGGACGACCAAGGGGTAAAAGGAGTATTGAAGGATGATAGGGAAATGGCTGAGAAGCTAAATGCATTTTTTGCCTCCGTCTTCACTGTGGAAGATGAGAAGTGCTTGCCCACTCCAGAACCACTGATTTCAGGAGGGGTGTTGAAAGACCTGAGTCAGATTGAGGTGACGAGAGAGGAGGTCCTAAAACTGATAGACAACTTAAAAACTGAAAAATCACCAGGCCCAGATGGCATACATCCGAGAGTTCTGAAAGAACTCAAATGTGAACTTGTAGATCTCCTGACAAAGATATGTAATCTTTCCTTAAAATCTGCCTCCATTCCTGAGGATTGGAAGGTAGCTAATGTCACTCCCATCTTTAAAAAGGGTTCCAGAGGAGATCCGGGAAATTACAGGCCAGTCAGTCTGACGTCGATACCGGGTAAATTGGTGGAAACCATTATTAAGGAAAGAATTAGTAGGCACATAGATGAACAAAACCTATTGAGGCAGACTCAGCACGGTTTCTGTAAGGGAAGATCTTGTCTCACTAACCTGTTAGTGTTCTTTGAGGGGGTGAACAAACATGTGGACAAGGGGGATCCAATAGATATTATTTACCTTGACTTCCAGAAAGCTTTTGATAAAGTTCCTCATCAAAGGCTCCTAAGTAAGCTCAAAAATCATGGGATAGAAGGACAAGTCCTTTTATGGATCAAAAACTGGCTAGTTCATAGAAAACAGAGAGTGAGTGTAGGTGGGCAATTTTCTCAGTGGAGGGTGGTAAGCAGTGGGGTACCGCAGGGATCAGTACTTGGTCCACTGCTTTTTAACTTGTTCATTAATGATTTGGAGATGGGAGTAAGCAGTGAAGTGGCTAAATTTGCGGATGATACAAAGTTGTTCAGGGTGGTGAAAACCAGTGAGGATTGTGAGGCACTCCAAGGGGATCTGTCAAGGATGGGCGAGTGGGCGTCAACATGGCAAATGGGGTTCAATGTGGCCAAGTGCAAGGTGATGCACATTGGAGCCAAAAATCCTAAATATAAATACACATTGATGGGGTCTGAACTGGCAGAGACTGAGCAAGAGAGAGATCTTGGAGTTGTAGTGGATAACTCACTGAAAATGTCGAGACAGTGTGTGACTGCAAGGACGTCCTTCTTCACCCAAAGAGTGATTAACACTTGGAATTCACTGCCACAGGAAGTGGTGGGTGCTACAAGCATGGATGGCTTCAAAAGGGAATTAGATAAGCATATGGAGCAGAGGTCCATCAGTGGCTATTAGCCACAAGGTATAGCTAGGGGCTCTGGGGCAAGTGATGCTCTGTCTTCTTGGTGCTTGGGGGGGGTCAACAGTGGGAGGGCTTCTAATGTCCTGGCCCCACTGCTGGACCTCCTGATGGCACTGGTATTTCTGGCCACTGTGTGACACAGAGTGTTGGACTGATGGGCCTTTGGCCTGATCCAACATTGGCGTCTCTTATGTTCTTATGTTCTTATCAGAAAAATCAGAGTTTTGTTCCTTTACCATACCCAGATAAGAGAACCACATAGAATGAAGCCATATGATGGATGTAGATCCAGTAAATGAGTCATGCCAGAGGCCTTTATTTTGTCTGTAAAGTAGAACTAAATGCTGATGAAGCTACAATAGTATGTCCTGAGGTGCTGAATGTGGTTGTGGTTCCCACTGATAGTCCATTCTTTGATAGAAAGGGTTAATCAGTGCTTGGATTGACAGATTATAGTTTTTCTTTGATTTTGTTCTTCCATAGATGTCTAAATCTACGGGCAACTTTCTCACGCTGCATCAAACAGTTGAGAAGTTTTCTGCTGATGGTAAGCCATGAGGTTGAAATTTGAAATCTTGTTAAATTGTTGGACAAATGGTTCTGCCTTTAATTGAATGAATAAATAAATATATAAATGCTAAGGGCTGCATGCATTTTTAATAGAGTTATTTTATTTTGTGCATTATAAATTGGTATTTGTAAGTTTCCTTGAGGCACACGGAAAGAAAGGCAAGGAATAAATATTTATACAAATATTGATTATAGGCAGGGATTCATGGCAGAGGAGATCTCATCCTTTTATCTTGCTCTTCCTGTCCCCTCAACAGCCCTCTTCATCCCCTTTTCACTCCACTGCTTTTCTAGTCCTTTCCTTCCTTTTTTCACCCTCTCCTTTTTCTCTTGCTTTTCCTGCTTGTGACCACATTCTCATAGGCCTCCTGGTGGTGGCACCACTCTTACCCTCCCTGCCACCTGCTCCTTTCTTCTCTGCTGCTTCTCTGATGGCTGCCACACACACGGTCGCTCGCCCACCTGCCTGCAGCACCACTGCCTGCTCTTGCCTGGCTCATCTGGTGATGGCTCTACCACCCTTCCTGCTAGATTCTCCCTTTCACCATCACCTCTACTGTCTGGCAAAACCTTCTAGCTGATTTTGGTTGTGTATAAGGTTGCTATGTAACCATGAAAATAGCAGCAGAACAGTGATGTAGTGTCATGAGATCTTGTTTTTTCCTCCTGAACATAAACATTTAATTTTTTTTAAAAAATGTTTTTTTCTCTTTTGCGTAAACTTAGGGGGTGACCCAGGTTTGTACAAACTACCCCAGTAGTACATACCTGGCCCCAGTGTGAGGGTTTTTCAGTCTGCACTCTGAGATCCATATTCAGCATGATTTTAAAAACAGTTATTTTTTTGCTAAGGGGAAAATGTAAGCTTGTAGTATCAGTGCTGGCATAAAGGGAGAAGTCGTATTGAACATCCTTCGGACTTGGCACAAGGACTTTAAACTTTTGGTTTTGTTAGTGTTTTAAGCATACTTTGCATAGCTGTGCACTGGAAAATGGCCTAGTGTGTTGGGATAACCCATCACTTTCCCCTTATAAGAACTGATTTCCCCTCCCCCCCCATTTTCCTTCCAAAGCGTCATATAGTCTAATAGTCAAATAAGGGCTCATCTGCAGATACTTAAATCGTGGATTGGGCCCGTGTGACTAAAAACAGATATTTCTGCAAGCTTGGGGGACACCCCAGGTTTGCCAAAAATCTTTAAAAGTTTAAAAATACATTGGAGGAGGTTTAATCCACCCCAAACGAAAGCATTATCTGCATGTGTGCAGACGATGCACCTACCTCCTTTTCCTCTGTCAGTAGTGCTGGTTGGGGGGGTTGGGGTAGCTGGTAGCTGTGCTGGGTCTGGTGAGAGAGATGGAGGAGGAGGAAGCCACAGCAGGCCTGCCAGGAGCCTCACTTGGAGTGGTGATTGGGGGTGGTGGTGAGGGAAGCCCAACAGGAGCGGCACTGTACTCACCACTAGGAGCAGCAGTGGTGGTGGGGGGTAAAGGAAGCTGCAGGGGGCTCTGCAGTGGGAGGGGGAAAGCCGCAGTGGGCCTGGCAGCAGCCATAGTTGAGATTTGCCAGGAGCTGCAGTGGGCAGCAATGGGAGGGGAGGAGAAAAAGGCTAAGAGGGGGAAGGGATCTTCCTCACAAATATTATGGATCCCCACTTGTAGTTCTTTTATTAATAAATCCAGTTTTGAACCTGGGTTTCATGCTGAAGCAGTAGCCGAGAATCAGGTCTTGCTATCTGGTATTAGACAGCAGCTGACTTCCTAAGGCCCTAGACTATAAGCATGTTTTCTCTTCAGGTATGCGGTTGGCATTGGCTGATGCAGGCGATACTGTTGAAGATGCAAACTTTGTGGAAGCCATGGCAGATGCTGGCATGCTCAGACTATACACTTGGGTGGAATGGGTGAAGGAAATGCTTGCTAACTGGGACAGCCTAAGAAGTGGGCCTGCTGCTACCTTCAATGACAGAGTCTTTGCCAGGTAAAACGAAGAAATCAGTAAACATCTAGTTTAAAAATATCTTTTTTTGGTCTCTAAAGAAAATGAGTTTCGTAAAACAATATTTGCACTTACCATTCTGCGTACACTGTAGTGTTACTACTTTAACTGGTTGGACTCTAGCTTTATCCATTCATTTCTTCCTCAGTGAAATGAACACTGGCATAATCAAGACAGATCAAAACTACGAGAAGATGATGTTCAAGGAAGCCCTGAAAACTGGCTTCTTTGAGTTTCAGGTAGGTAATGTGCTTTCCATAACACAGAGAGAGAGTTCATATATCTATATTAAAAATTCTAGCCTGCCTTCTAGCCTGCAGGCTTTCCAAGCAACTTATGGCCAATTTAAGCTATGCAGTAACAATATAATAAAAGAAACCCATATGAAAACAGCAGGTAAAACAAAAATGCTGTAGCGTTGCTCTTTCTGTTGAACCTTATATCTCCAGGACCTCAGGGGGAGATATAACTTTTCAGACCATGAGTCCATCTGCTGAATACTGCCCTGTTCTGACTGGTAATGACTCTGCAAGATCCCAGCAGGGATTTTAGCTAGACTTACTTTTTGAGATCCTTTACCTGGAGACTCCCAAGGCCTGAAATTGGGACTTCTGCATGCAAAATATGCTGTCTGCCCCTGAACGGTGGTCCCTTCCCATTGTGGCTCTCCTGCTTCAACTATTTTCTGGAGCCCAGGCTGATGTTCTGCTAGATAGGAAGGTATAAGTAACCTCAAGTTCTTTGCAGTCAATTCTGGTCTGTCCTGGGCTCATTGTACCTCTACAGGAAGTAGTTTCTACTGTGGCAGGCAGAAAGCTACTGTCATTGGCAGGCAGTAAAGAGGGAGGACAAAATAATTAAGAGAAAATATTGTTTCCTTGCTCTCTCCCCCACCACTCTTTTAACAAAACAAATTTTCATGAAGGATGGCTAGATCAGGAAATGTATTTGTGTTACCATTTAGGAAGCAGAACGTTTTTCACAATAGTCCATAAGGTGTCAGCAACTCTCTAAAGTGTCTGCAGCGGCATATTGCTTTGCTTAGTAATGAATTGCTCTGACTGATTTTAACGCAACTGACTTGACTTTCAGGAATATGATTTGGCTGGCTGAACTATGTGCATAATAATAGATCATATTTATTGCTTCTCTCTTTTTTCTTTTGCTACTTAATGGTAGCTTTTTATGTGGCCATTCAGAATCATAGCGTCTAATATACAGTTACAGTTATCCTTGACTTTTATGCCCATTCCGATAGATGTCTCTTTTTTAAGAGCCGTAATAATGTAAAGCTATGTAATGTCCAACCGGCAGAAGTTCATTTGATTCTAATGCCAGCTGTTTTTTTTAAAGAAAAAATATATAGCCCTTTTAATAATCCATTATAGGATTGTAAGTAGTTCGTGTTTTAAGGACAGATTAAAGCAAGGAAATTGGCTTTCACGCAATACTTTTTCATGACAGTTGGAATGTTTTAAGGGTGGTTGTGCTTGACTCTCTTTTAGGCAGCAAAAGACAAGTACCGCGAACTAGCTATTGAAGGAATGCACAGAGACTTGGTGCTCCAGTTCATTGAATCTCAGACACTCCTGTTAGCTCCAATCTGCCCTCATGTGTGTGAATACATTTGGCAACTGTTGGACAAGGTACTGATACATATTTATCACCAGTGTCTGTTTGTGGAAGAAGGATCTCTGTTGTTGGATGGTATTTTGCAAAGCATATATGTGCGCACTGCTCACAAAGACACATCTCTTGAGTCCCCTGTTGAGGCTGAATTGATTACCCAGGAGGTTAAGGTGTAGTGCGTGTGGACAACTTTTGTTAACCTACAAAGTCCCTGTAGCTTGTCCCATAGGACAAGGGAATCCACTGAGACCTCCAGCCAGTTGCTTCCTGTATAGTTGCATCCTACACATCCTCTGTCTCAGGTGCTGTTTTTGATGTGAGGCTAGTGTGCGTTGAATCTTAGGTTTTTAAAGATGTCACAGTGTTGGGAACTGGCTATAGGAAGGTCATGAGGCTTGCTTTTTATTTAATTATTGTAATAAGCACTGATATAGTGCTATTCATTGTTGCTTAAAACAGTTGTCTATTTCAACATAAATAATAACAGTATAAATGGGCAATTTTCTCAGTGGAGGGACGTAAGCAGTGGGGTACCGCAGGGATCAGTACTCGGTCCACTGCTTTTTAACTTGTTCATTAATGATTTGGAGTTGGGAGTAAGCAGTGAAGTGGCTAAATTTGCGGATGATACAAAGTTGTTCAGGGTGGTGAAAACCAGTGAGGATTGTGAGGCACTCCAAGGGGATCTGTCAAGGATGGGCGAGTGGGCGTCAACATGGCAAATGGGGTTCAATGTGGCCAAGTGCAAGGTGATGCACATTGGAGCCAAAAATCCTAAATATAAATACACATTGATGGGGTCTGAACTGGCAGAGACTGAGCAAGAGAGAGATCTTGGAGTTGTAGTGGATAACTCACTGAAAATGTCGAGACAGTGTGTGACTGCAATAAAGAAGGCCAATGCTATGCTGGGGATTATTAGGAAGGGTATTGAAAACAGATCAGCCAATATCATAATGCCCCTATATAAATCAATGGTGAGACCTCATTTGGAATACTGTGTGCAGTTCTGGTCACCACACCTTAAAAAGGATATTATAGCTTTGGAAAAAGTGCAGAAAAGGGCAACTCGAATGATAAAAGGGTTGGAACACTTTCCCTATGAGGAAAGGTTAAAGCACTTAGGGCTCTTTAGCTTGGAGAAAAGACGACTGAGGGGTGACATGATTGAGGTTTATAAGATTATGCATGGGAAAGAGCAGGTAGAGAAAGAGGTACTTTTCTCCCTTTCTCACAGTACAAGAACTCGTGGGCACACCATGAAATTGCTGAGCGGTTGGGTTAGAACGGATAAAAGGAAGTACTTCTTCACCCAAAGAGTGATTAACACATGGAATTCACTGCCACAGGAGGTGGTGGCGGCTACAAGCATGGACGGCTTCAAAAGGGAATTAGATAGGCATATGGAGCAGAGGTCCATCAGTGGCTATTAGCCACAAGGTATAGATAGGGGCTCTGGGGCAAGTGATGCTCTGTCTTCTTGGTGCTTGGGGGGGGGCAACAGTGGGAGGACTTCTAATGTCCTGGCCCCACTGGTGGACCTCCTGATGGCACCTGGTATTTTTGGCCACTGTGTGACAGAGTGTTGGACTAGATGGGCCTTTGGCCTGATCCAACATTGGCGTCTCTTATGTTCTTAACATTAAATTAATGGCTTTCATGATAGGAATCTAGATAGCTGCAAGGCTGCAGTTGTACTATGCAGAGTGGTATGCTGGTATTGCCAGATTCTTTGAGATCCAGGGTCCAGATCCAAATTTGTAAATTGTATGTGTTCTTGACGAGCACTGAAAAGGCAAAGAGCCTGTAGTGAGGAGAGGAGATTTATGGAACATATAAAGCTTGCAGGTATGGCTGTAACTACAGTGGTATCTTTTGCACTTCTATGTTGTATCACAGATTAATATGGGGAGGGTTCACATTTAAAATAAGCAAATATAGCTTTTATTCTTCTCTACTGCCAAAGCCAGTGCATGTTTAAGTAAATTAATAACGTCAGTATTTTGAAACACTTTTGAAAACATGAACACGATTAGCATATTTTTCATCAGAATGGATTATACGAGTCCAAATCCAAGATTTGTAGACTAGTTACTAGCAAGACTGTAAACAGTTTGTGCTTCTGTGCTTTAACGCAGATGTCTGACTTGAGGGAAGAAAAAAAATCTTTCAAGCACAGGTGCCAAGTAGAATTTTAAAACCATGTGGAACAGCCAGCCACTGGCTACCAAGTTGGTAGGCCCAGGGGAGGGGGACAAACTAAAGCCGGAGGGAGCTTGAATAATTTCTTGGCTTCATTAGGAGACAATTCTGGCAAATGCTGTTTCGTGGAACTCTCTGAGGGAGCGGGGGAGGAAGGAGAGATTTAGCTGCTAAAGGCCCTGAAGGTGAAGAAACGGTCAAGGCCATTTTCTCATCACCATCCTTTATGGGGCAACTATTCAGAGTACAGGTGCCTTGAAATCCTCAAAGTATAATAGCTTTGATACAAGGCTTGATACAAGAAATCAAAGGGGAAGTAGAGTGTGATAGTAGTTCTTGGGCTTTCTGTAGCTGCCCCTTCCCCTACACTATAGCATTCTGTTTCTTTCCCTCAGATCCCCTTTTCTACTCTTTCTGTGCTAAATCTTCACCTCACATTTTCCCTCCTTGTTCATATCTCAGCTAAGTATTGATCAACTATGTGAAGACTCTGGGGGAGCTTCCTGTTGCAGATTTGGGGTGGGTGGGAGGGAGAAAGATCATGGAAATATAAACTGTATCTCCTGCACATCCCATTGTGATTGATTAGGAATAGTGAACCTATGAGCCATGTCTTAAATCTAGTATCTGTTGACTTCATTTTAAAGACGGACTCCATCATGAAAGCCTCCTGGCCAGTGCCTGGCCCTGTGGATGAAATATTGATCCACTCTTCCCAGTACCTCACAGAAGTTGCTCATGACCTTCGTGTGCGTCTCAAAAACTATCTGGCACCAGCAAAAGGAAAGGTAAATGGCTGTGAATCCATTTCGTCCACTGAATGCTTTTTCCATTCACTCACATTGGGAATTCTCCTCATTGACTACATTTATTCTCTCTGTTCTCACTGTTTTCTAGAAGGGCAATAAAGAAGCTCCCCAGAAGCCGTCACATTGCACCATTTATGTGGCCAAGAACTACCCACCGTGGCAACACACCACGCTTTCCATTCTGCAGAAGCACTACCAGGTGAACATCCTATCCCAGTTCCTCTTTTTTATGACTTTACTCTCAGTCTCTCCCACTCCTCCATCCCTGTAATAAACTAATTTGGCATCAAGTTTATTGAATTTAAGGAAAATGGTGTGTTTCCCCCCATGCTTTAATAAGCGTCTGCAGGTATTGCAGTGCTCGGTAATAGTGCCGTTACAGGTACATGATTAACTTTGCCATATGACCTCATTCCTAGTGACATTTTGTAAATGAAGTTATGGCCACAACTTTATTCTTCGTAATCTTTTGCACATGCAAAGCGTAGTAAGCAGCTTGCTTCAGCACCATTTGTGCAACAGAAGTACTAGCTATTGTCAGACTGGTGCTGCTTCCTTGTTAGGCAGGGGGCTTTTAAAACCCACTATAGCCCTTAGTGAGTATAATAATTCTCTGGCTTTATAGGAAATGTATTGAAGCACGATAAAGTCTTTTGTCTTCTAACCGAACAGGGTGCAAAGAAATCTGGCTTTAAAAGCCACAGTCCCTGAATTCTCGAGCTGCTGGAACTGATCTGTCAATTGTTCGTAGCACAGGAACAATGGCGCTGCTCGAGCTGAACTGCTAAATATGCCAGTTGATTTGAGGACTGTGTGTGTATTTTTATAGCTACACTGACATAATTAAATTAACTCTTTTAATTGGAAACAAGCATGACTTTGTACTCTGGTACTCACTGCCACCAATCCCTGTTGGAAGGGGGGAGGGAAATTGGATTCTGCTAACTGAATCCTTTCGTCCTCTGTGGGGCTTCTTTTGAGAGAAGTGAAATTGAAATGTGAACTTGTACTAATGTAAGGGGAAATCTAGGCGCATTACTTGGCTGGCAGTGAGTAAAACTCCCTGCCTCCTAACCATGAATAAAGTATCTGTATGAGTTTACCAAGACTGAGATGCTAGTACAGTTAAGACACCTATGGTGGGAACTAATGATTTGTTGTACCTCTTTTGGTGCATGAGAAGGGAAGCTTACATTTATCTATTTATTTATTATTTACATCATTTATTGTATGCCTTTCTCACTTGAACTCAAGGTGGATTACACAGAATAAATCAAGTTAAGTGTGCGGACTCTAATCTGGGAGAAGCAGGTTTGATTCCCCACTCCTCCACTTGCACCTGGCTGGATGACCTTGGGGAAGCCGTAGTTCTGATAAGAGCTGTTCTTGAAAAAGAGCAGTTCTGTCAAGAGCTCTCTCAGCCCCACCTACCTCACAGGGTGTCTGTTGTGGGGAGGGGAAGGGAAAGGAGTTTGTAAGCCGCTCTGAGACACCTTTGGGTAGTGAAGGGCGGGGTATAAATCCAATCTCTTCTTCTTCTTCTTCTACAATCGACAGGATGGAGTATTCAGTAGAACCAATCAGAAATCTAAAAAACCGAACAGAAGCAAAGCCGAAGTGTTAACATGATGCATTAAATGATACAAAATTACACAATAGGACCAGTGTTTCAGTATGCTAAACACAATACATTAAGTGATATAAAAATAAATAGTAGGATCCTAGTTTCAGTAAGCTAGACACAGTAGCGTAGACCACAGTCCCTAATCTAAATAACGTTAAATCATTTAGTACAATGCAACTCTTATTTCCTGTGTAGAAAAGCCCTCTTGAATAATTCAGTTTTACATGAATGCAATAGCGTTGAGGTATAAGGAAAGCAGCAAGAGAGCATCTACTTCCCATCGTATAATAAAACTGAGCTACATCCAAGCATGAATTTAGCAAAGGCCTTCACTATTTAAGACACACTAACCTCAAGCCAGCCTACCAACCATGTGTTACTGGGTTCCGTCTCCTACCCCCTGTCTACTTGTCCAAGACAGCCAGCCCATGTGGGCCCATGGTCCATGACTGAGCTGTATCCAGGTTGGTAGGTCACAGGCTATGAAGGCTTGGGATAGAAGGCTTGTTCTGTTTAAGAAGACATGATATTTAAGTTGAGGCCGTATCTAGAAAAATGACTTTATAAATGATACTTTGAGGCTGTGAACTTGATTTTTATAAAAAGCAAAATTTAAAAGAATCTGGGGTAAAGTAGGCATGAAAATTTATAAGAATGAAGAGGGAAAGTTTCAGGCAAAGTTCGCTTGTGTAGCCATATGAAGGAAGCTCTCACAAGGACTGTATATACTTTTGTACTTACAGAATCAACATGCAGTGGTGTGAATGAATTTTGTTGTTGTTTGTTGTTGTTGTTATTGTTGTAGGCCAATGGAGGAGAACTACCAGACAACAAAATAATTGCCAGTGAACTCGGGTCCTTGCCAGGACTGAAGAAATACATGAAAAAGGTTATGCCTTTTGTTGCCATGATCAAGGTCAGTCTCTTTAAAAGTTGTTATCTCTCCCTTATATATAATTGAGTAAGACGCAGCGTCAGACGCAACGGAGAGAAAATGCGCAGCAACAGTGTTTGGAGGCTTGAACTGTCCGTCAGAAGCTTTTCCAGCTTCCATTGGCCGTGTCGCCTAAGTCCCACCTCAGAACACAAAAGGCTCTAGCCCTGCCTCTGCACCCGGTCCCCTCAGACGTCAGACTACTGCTGACAACCACCTAGTGGGTGAGTGGAACCGGGGAGCACTTGAAGGGCGGCGGCAATAAGCCGTTCGCTGCCACCCGACTCCCCCCCTCCACTAGCCAGGGCTGGAGGGAATCAGTGGAAGGCCGCTAGTGGCAGCTCATCACCGCTCGCCGCGGCCCGATTCCCCCCCTTTATCGCAGCCTGTTTCCCCCCCGCCCACCTACCCCCGCTTCAAAGACCCCTTGGAGCCCCACAGGCTTCCGGAGACAGCAGGTGAGGGGCAGCGGCGCTGAGCCAACCCCCGCCGGCCTGTTTTCGCCGCTCCCCCCACCTTTGCCAGCTTTCAGGGGCAGCAGCCCAGAGGCGGCAACGCTGAGCCAACCCCCACCAGCCCGTTTTCGCCACTCCCCCCCCACCTTCACCAGCTTTCGGGGGCAGCAGGCGAGGGGTGGCGGCGCTGAACCAACCCCCGGCCCCTTAATTTTCGCTGTTCCCCCCCACCTTCACCAGCTTTCCGGGGGCAGCAGGCAAAGGGCAGTGGCAGCGCTTAGCCAACCCCCGCCGCCCCTTTCCCCCCACTACCCCCCTTCCTCACTCTCTCTTTCTTTTTCTCTATCTCCCTTCATTCTTTCCCTCTCCTCCCTCCCTCCCTCCCTCCCTCCCTGTCTGTCTGTCTGGCTTACTGACTGTCTGTCTATGTTTCCCCCCCCTCACCCTTCTTCCTTCCTTCCTTCCTTTCTCCAAACCCCTCTATCTATCCATCTACCTATCTATCTACCACCCACCCACCCTACCTTTCTAGGGCCCATTGTCTTCGTCCACAATGGGCTTTGCTCCCTAGTCAAATATAATTTGGTTAATAATTGATATGGTTACAAAAACTCTAGATAAAACTCATTTTGTTATTTTTGCTTCTAAAGTATAAAAACATAATCTAGAGGTGACTCAAATGTATCAGTTCAAATGATACATGGGTGTGAGGGAGAACCTGAATTATAATTGGAGAAAAGGTGATGAAAATTTACTTAATTTGGTACCTGTTGGTGAAGCTCCTTCAGTAACATTTTATTTATTTAAAATATTTATATGCCTTCCTTACTCCATACTCAGGAGTATGCCTTCCTTACTCAGGATGCCAGCCTGTGGTAAGATTAATGAAAATTGCATTATAATAAAACAATGAATTATTAAAAAACTGTATTAAAATTGCCATTCTAAAAATACCTTATATAGGGCTATTTTTGGGCAGGAACGCACAGGAACGGAGTTCCGGCTGGCTCCCAAGTTGGCCACACCCAGCAGGAACTCATTAGCATAATAGGCCACACCCAACAGCAGAAACTCATTAGGATTGGCTACTTTAGGGGTGTGTGGCCTAACATGCAAAGGAGTTTCTGCTCCAAAAAAAGCCCTGGGTTTTGACAACAAACAAGGTAAACAGAATAAGAAGCAAAAAGTGGGTGTGGCTGGATGACCACACTTCTGGTAACATGGAGGTGTGGCCTAATGGGCTAATGAGCTGTGCTGTCAGGGGTGTGACCTAATATGCTAATGAGTTTCTGATGTTGGGTGTGGCCTATTATGCTAATGAGTTCCTGCTGGGCTTTTTCTACAAAAAGAGCCCTGAATTGGAGAAATATTCCCTTTGTCCCAGACTCAGGCTGTCCCAAATGCTCTGTGGAATAATTCTGTTTTATAGCTCTCCAGAAAGCCAGGACAGTGGAAGGTCCCATGCTGACCTCTTCTGGTATGTTGTTTCACAGTCATTGGGCAGTTAGAGTGTACCCTAGACAAAGGAAGTGCAGACAGGAGACCATGCTGGGAAGCATCAGTGCTTCATTTTTAACTAGTTTCATAGGTGAACTTTTAAATTAGCTGTAAGTGTGTGCTTTTAAATTCAGCAAAGCACTCAGTAAAGTTAACAACTATAATGCTGTGTTAGTCTCTCATTCATTCGAAATCCGTCTTCCTGAGAATTTGAATACAAATAGGAAGTGCAATTGGTTTTCTCATTTTGTTTCATCTAGTAGTTGGGCTGAAAAACCATCTTGGTGTTAAGTTCAGCTGCAAAGCTGGGAACTCCCATTCTGCTATGCACAGTAATACCTCTCTTCTGTGAGTGGCTTCCCAACTGGGATGGAACAAGATTTTTAGTCCCTGGAAGAAATGATTAAAAGCATGGTTGTTTTAGTCTTTGGCATATTGAAAATGTCTCCCCAATACAAACCCTTGGGTCAGTGTGAATTGCCCAATGCCTCTGATACCTTTTAGCAAATATGTAAAAGAAAAAATTTAACTTTTAATGATACCACTTGAATAATACGTATTGGGCTGTGGATGCAGAACAGAGTGCTGAAATAAGAGTTCCTTCCGTGAAGATAGTTTCAGGATACTTTGGCCACCAAATGAGAAGGGAGTTCTCACTGGAGAAGACCATGATGCTGGGAAAGATTGAAGGTCAAAGAAGACGGGGACGGCAAAGGATGAGATGGTTAGACAGTGTCATCGAGGCAACGAACATGAAATTAAGCAAACTTCAGAGGACGGTGGATGACAGGAAGGCCTGGCATGATCTGGTCCATGGGGTCGCGGAGAGTCGGACTCGACTGTGCGACTGAGCAACAAAAGAAGAGCTAGATTCAAATCCAGGAGCACCTTAAGAGGCCAAGAAGATTCTCGGGCTAGGAACTTTCGTGAGTCAGGGCTCCCTTCATTGGATACCTGACAAAGAGAGCTTTGATTCTCAAAAGCTTATGCCCCGCAAATCTCATTGGTCTCTAAGGTGCTACTGGAATCTAGCTCTGAAATAAGAGGCTTCTCAGAATACTATAGAAGAAGAAGAGGAGATTGGATTTATACCCCGCCAAAGGTGTCTCAGAGCGGCTTACAAACTCCTTTCCCTTCCCCTTCCCGCAACAGACACCCTGTGAGGTAGGTGGGGCTGAGAGAGGTCTGACAGAAACTGCTCTTTTTCAAGAACAGCTCTTATCAGAACTACGGCTTGCCCAAGGTCATCCAGCCAGGTGCAAGTGGAGGAGTGGGGAATCAAACCCAGTTCTCCCAGATTAGAGTCCATACACTTAACCACTACACCAAACTGGCTCTCTATAGGTTGGACAGTCTAGAGTTAATACTATATTCATAAGGCTAGTCCCGTGAACTTGGTACGGTTAAGCAACTGAAGAGAATGTGCTGTGAGTTTTCACAAATGGGATAGTTGTTGTTTCTTGAACAGTGGGGAGAAGGGACAATTTCGGACCCCCCTTCCTCAATATTGCAGGTTTTTGAGCTTAGGGTTTCAGCCGGTCTTATATATCTCTCTTACCAGGTCAGCTCTGATCTAATTGTCAATTTTCCCTGAAACGTACAACTTTCAGTTTGAGAGGGATAACGTAGCAGGCAATATTATTTTTTCTGCTGCTTATTCTCCTTGTCAGTGGTTTGCTCCCTCCACCCATGTTACTGAATTTGAAACACTAAATTGCTGCCTTGCCCTTATTCCCTGCCAAACTTTTTGGGAGTCAGACAAGCCTCTATTCATGCCCTTGATGTGGCAGAAGCCTGACTCTGGCACATTGCAAATTCTTGTGCTTCATGTCGAATTCTGCAAGAGATGCAGCTTTGTAGACTGAGACTGAGCTTATGTGCGGTCCCCCTTTTTTTTTTTTACTCATTGCTTTTGCCTTGTTAACGTATTTGTCTTGCTTTGCCAATCTTTCCGTTGGCTCATAAGGCCCATTGGACATTTCTCTGCATGTGTGCTTTGAATTGACAAAAAATGCAATTACATAACAAGACCTAGAAACATTCAGCCCTAATTCCCTGAGCCGGCACACAAAGCTGCAAAGCAGATTGTCTGGGCAACTAATATTCACCGTGTTCTTTCGTTTTGTTAGGTCAAACAAGAATCTTAATGTAACACAATATTTACTGCCTTGCAAAGCAAAATAAGTCACTCTTAATTTTGAAAGCCCCGTGCATATTAGAAAAGCAAAGAACTACCAATGAATAACAAAGCAAATAGCTTTTATTCTGTCAAGAGGATCTGGTGGTCTGTTTAGGTATTCGTGGAAGCTGGCTAAGCAAAGGGGAAAGGAGCCTGCGAAGGGAAGGTTTTACAACTGAAGATGCTGCAGAAGATCAGCTTGCAGTTTCTGGTTACATTCTGGGCCAGCTGTCCACCCAAGTGACCAAGCAGCTGCTTGGGACACCACAATGGGCAGGTGCCAGTATACTGTTGCAGCTTGCCTTTCTCCCAGACAGCAATGACCAAGGAGGTGGTGATAGGTGTGGCTTGTGTCTCTTTGCCTTCCCAGGCTTGTGCCGCCACCAACCAGGTCCAAGCTAAAATCTAGTGATGCCGCTTGTTTGGGGGCAGCCCGGCCTACAACATCTTTATCCATGTCTCCCCCAACCCATGTGTGCCTTAGTCATTGTAACTGCATGTGAGACCCTACAAGAAAAAGATGGAAGAGGTTCCAAGTGACTGACTGGGCCCCTTCCCTTCCACCCTTTTGGAAGGCTTGTGTGGCCACAATTTTTGAGAGGGCTGGCTTGTTTACGGAGGGCTCTCTACTATGTATTGGAGACTGTTGGTTGGGGGCTAATAGGTTTGATTGTTCATAGTTTTAGTATTGCCAGTTTGCTGTGCAGACTGGGTTTTATTGTTGTAAGCCATCTTGAGTTTTGGAAAGATCTTTGAATAAATGGATAACAAATAAACTGATTGCCCTGACCTGGATAGTCCAGGCAAGCCCAATCTCGTCAGATTTTGGAATCTAAGCAGAGTCGACTCTGGCAAGTACTTGGGAAACCTCCTTGAAATACCAGAGGTGGGAGGCGGGGGCAGGTTTTATTCAGCCACCTCTCTGAATATCCTCCAGGCCCCCAGTAGGAGTCAGTCACCAGAGGTCTCCATAACTTCCAGGTGTGCGCTCTCTCTCTCTCTCTCTCTTTCTCTCTCTCTCACGCACACAAATACAACATAGATAAATAAACTGATGGTTCCTTAGCTTCAGCCAGTTCTGGTGAGACTGGGGAACTGATTGCCTGAAAGGATTTTTATTGACATATCTTCAGATGATTTGGATATTGGCCACATATTTTATCATGAGCCATGATTTGGGGCTGGGGGGAGACATGCAGAACTGAACATTCTAGATGAAGTCTAACTGTGCCCTGGCTTAAAGAAGCCTGATCTGGGGGCTTTTGGACAATGCAGATATTTATTCCTCCTCAAGTTGAGTAAGTATGGGAGTGGAGTCATTTGGCCCACAGTCTTTATTGGCTGTCCAAATGCAACATTCTGGAGCAGGAGTTTATGCGGTATGAGATAACGTGTGTGTGTGTGGGTAAATCAGCTCAATTCACAATAAGATTTCCCCCTCATGATTTGTCATGGGATTTGTCCCTTAAGCTCTGTCATACTTCATATCTTGGAGTAAAGCAAAAGGATTATGGTTGCTTGTTAAATATACTTGCATTATGGATGTTTAAGACACTTGGAATGCCGTCTGCTGATTCTAAATATTTTTCAAAGTGTGTTTGTAAGACAAAAGATGAAAAATGCTACTGGTTATTTACATGTTAAGGCTTAGTTTCGTTCTGGTTCACTGGTGGAAACTCTACAAAATTGTAATGGCTCTGCTAGGAGCTTGGGACCCATTTGATGCCAGCAGTAAACTCTGTCAGAAGAGTTCTGTTCTGCCTAAGGCTTCCTCAGCTGTGCTATTCAGTTTCACAATGATGACCCAGATTAAAGTGTTGCTAGGTTTTTCATGTATGCTTTTCCTGCTTCTGGAATGACAGTGCATTTCACAATGATGACCCAGATTAAAATGTTGCTAGGTTTTTCATGTATGCTTTTCCTGCTTCTGAAATGACAGGAGAATCTAGAGAAGAAAGGCCCACGCGTTCTTGATCTGGAGCTGGAGTTTGATGAACGGGCTGTACTCATGGAAAACATCGTCTACCTGACAAATTCCTTGGAGGTGAACATCTGCTAAAAAGTGCTGATAGTTCAGATGGCTGGAAGAGAATTGCTTGAATCTCTGTATATGATTCTGGTTTAAAGGTTCTTAGACTTAATTTTTGGACTCATTTGCTTGAGTTTCAGAAGATCTGAAAGTTAGCTCGTAGAAGAGGAGTATTGAAATAGGTGCTTATGATCATTCATATCCAAGTCATGCAATTCTCTGAATGTTGGAAGCATTCAGTGAAAGAGGCCATCCAAGTCCAAATCTTTTGCAGTTACTGTAAGTGATCTTTCACAATCAAGAGAATTTAATACGGCCAGATATTTTTACACTTGTCATCTTGTCATCTCATGGTGTAGGTACTTAATATGTTATCCCCATTTTTGTTGATGTTATACTTTGTCTTCATCCGTGTCTCTTCTCCAGGGAACTCAGGGAAGCCGCTATAGTTCTCTCTCCCCCTTCCTACTTTCCCCCAATGTCATTCTCATGGCAGCCCTGTGGAGTAGGTGAGGTTGGGAGATAGTGAGTGGACCAAGGTCATCCAGTGGACTTAATGGCTGACTGGGGATTGAAAGCTAAGCCTTGCAAGCCCAGTTCTGAAACTACTGTACCATATTTACTGGTTTTACTGCTACAGTGCAAAACGTTTGTTTACGCATTGTCAGCCATTTTAGCAGAGCACTTATTCGGCATCTGAGATACAAACCACCCACAACATCTTTAATTAGAACCCTCAAAGTTTCTGCCATAATTAGGAAAGCCACGAATTTGCTTCAGATGTGACTTACCCCTGTGAGCTACTGTTTCCTCCAAACTATTAATGCTTTTCCTGTCTCCCACCAAAGCTGGAGCATATAGAGTTGAAGTTTGCTTCCGAAGGAGATGAGAAAATCAAAGAAGACTGCTGTCCTGGAAAACCATTTTGCACGTTCAGAGTGGAAGTAAGTTTTTAAGGCTTTGTTGCTTCCTTACTTGATGCATCACTTCTGTATTCTGCATGCGAATCAAAGTCCTTTATTTACATAAGCTAAAGTAAAGGATCGCTCTGAGGAGTGCTGGGGCAGGAGTTAAAATGTGTCTAAAGTATGTAATGAAAGTGCCACTTCTTAATGTGCGTCTTAGGTTGCAGCCTTTAATTTATCCCACCGGACTTGGCAGGAGCCACTGAGAACAGAAGTAGCTGCTATTATCCCTCTTCCCTCCTTCATTTGGATGTCCTGACTATGGTTCCATTACCCAGTTCAGTGCAGTGATGATAGGCTGTGATGAAACTCTGGGAATGGGGGTTTAGATATCTTGACTAGTGGAATGCCACCTGTATAAACGAGCGGGCCTGTATTGTGCAAGGTCCTGTGGAGGAGGGCAGTGTCTCTTTGTTTTGACCTTGACATATACTGTGAGCAGAGTATGTTCCCACAGCACCATCGTCCTCATGTGGTGCTTTATTTTCCCCTGTATGTTTGGTATAAAGTGTAGCGGTGGTCCTTGGACGTGTTGGCCTGAGGCAAGGGGAGGGGCTATACCTTCCTTCAGTGGTCAGACAGGCAAGGGGACCAGGTTCTGCTTCCTCTCAGCTGTGTCTGATTGCAGCCCACTTATATTGCCCCATAAGGTGCATCCTTGTTTCTTTGAGGCTACAGCATGATGCTGGAGTATGACAATATCCTGGAAACTTTATATTAATGTTCTACTTGCCCATTGCTGTGCAATGATCTCTCTCGCATGTATCGATTCAGGAACCTCAGTGCATTGTCCAGTTTTGAAAATTACATGATGGATCTGGCAAAGAATTAGTACAAGGATGGCAGATCTTCCCTGCATTCCCCTCCCCCAGCAGCCCCTTCCAACCCTGAGAAAGTTGATTCTCAGGGCCATGGGACCTGCGTGGACTACCATTGGATCCCTATAGATCTCTGCAAGAGCACTGCTGTTTCAGGAGCTGGAGTTGTATTGATTTGCAGTTGAAACGGAAAGATTTTGTGTTGGGTATTGATTGTCAAATTGCTAGGAACACCTTAGTGGTAGGCTTTAAAAACTAATGGCAGCATTTTCTTCAAACAAACATATCTTTCTGCTGTGAAAAGTTAACAAAGAGTGTAAGTGAGGGTTCAAAAACCAAAAAGCAAGGTATGTGTTAGAGCTGGGATCTGGAAAATGGACCAAGATGAGGACTAAAGACATACCGGTGGCAAGTGCATCAAGAGTAGCGAAAGGGCTTAGAGGTGTCATGTGACCTTGTTGTACAGGTCAACACTAGCCTTTTGGGGCTCAGAGATATATTGTAATGAGGTACTCTTTTCTTTTTTCACTCTGCTTCTTCTATATTTTTATTTCATGCAGCCTGGTGTGCCTATATTTCTGGTCAATCCACAGCCAGCAAATGGCCACTTCTCTACAAAAATTGAGGTCAGGCAAGGAGATGGTCGAGATGCAATAATCAGACGCTTGATGAAGATAGACAGAGGGATCAAAGGTAACATTCTGGCTGAAACCCAGGTTTTATTCCAGCCAGCTAGAGGTGACAAATTCCTGCAAAGGTAGCTTGCTGTGTGAGTTTCTTGCTCACTTGGCATCCTCTCCAATGGCTTCAGTTATTAAAAGAGCAGTGCACTGAAGGAAGGCATGCCCCTTATTTATTTTGCTATTTTTATTACTTACCTATAGCTCTCTGTGTATGCAATGCCCTTTGCAATCTTTGTCATCCAACGGTTGTCCCCCATATCTTGTGCAATGGGGCCAAAATAACTGCTTGTCACTACTCATTCTCATATGAGGTTCAGGAGGGTGGCTTTTGTTTGTTTTGTTTTGCTATGGACAAAAAATACATTTTTGTTTAGTGATTTTTGGAAAAGTAAAAGCTACATTTATTATGATAGTGATAAAGACTGGTTAACAGGCTGATTTTATACGTATATGAACAGCAGGTGACTGATTAATTTGTTTTTAAATCCCCAAGAGTATTGCATGCCCCTAAATGTTTGTCATGTCCTATCCATTCTGATAAGACTATTCTAAAAGAGGGCAGGAGGTAGCAGTGCATGTGGTGTTTAGGCCCATTGCTCTGTGTGTTTTAGCAACAGCATTCCGAACAATCTCCACATAATTATAGGTGTTAGTTGACTTAGGGGCTTCACTTTACTGGGGGACATTGGGTGTGGGAGTAAGGGTTGGGGACAAACACAAGTCGGGCTCCTTGGGAAATCTGCATCTAGGGGGGAACAAAAGGGGCTTGGAGAACAGGTGTCATGTCATAGAGTCATGTTGTTGTCTGTGGCCCCAGGCTGAGAGAGTGGTATGATCAGTGGGACTGATCACTGTTGCTCCATGGTCACAAACCACCCCACACCTCTTAGGGTTACCCAGCTGTGGGTGAGGGTAGCTCCAGACTATCCCTGCCCTCTTTGTGCTATAACCTGGAAGCTGTGAAAGTCAAGCTCTGCTGAGGTGCATTGTTGTGTTAATACCATGTCCTGTATGCCTCCTTCTGAGAACATTTGCCATGACATGATTCCATGGGACTGGACTGTACCAGCTGCTATCCAGAGCCATTAGAAAAGATGGCAGTTGTATTTTTATTCCACTGTTCCTCCAAGGAGGGCAAGTATGGCTTTTCCACCTCTCTTGTTATATTCTCTCAAACCTGTCCTATGGTACGTAAAGCTGAGAGGAAGTGATATGCTATTATTCTTTCTCCTGCTTTTCCTCCAAAGACCTTGAGGTCACATATCTGATCCTCTCCTCCTCCATTTTATCTTAACAGAGGCTTGGTGAGGTAGGCTAGACTGAAGGTCACCTAGTGAGCTTTATGGGGTTAGGGACTGAACCAGAGTCCTTCCAATTCAAGCCTAGCACTGGCTCCTTTCCACCATTCCACCTTTTTCTTCAGTAGGTTATGAACAACTCTTCTACTGTGTGTGTTCTTTATTAAAACAACCAACTAAACCTTATTTTGAAGCTGAGGTCCTGTCCCTAGTGGAGAAAGTAGATGTCAAAGTGATCAAACTATATTTTTGCTAATATCTGATGTACGGAGATTGGGTTATTCTTTTCCTCTAAAGCCTTAATCCAAATAACATTGCAGGCTGTGGCTGGTTGGCTCAGGCTGAGCCGGCTGAAGCTAAACCCAGCGAAGACAGAGGTCCTGGGCTTAGGTCGGGTCGGTTCAGGGCTGGGGCTCCCTCTCTCGGCCTTCGACGGGGTGCCTTTGGTGCTGGCGCCGGGGGTTAGGAGTTTGGGGGTGCTCCTGGACTCCTCTTTTAACGATGGAGGCCCAGGTAGCAGCCACTGTCAAGTCAGCCTTCTACCATCTGCGGCTGGCATGGCAGTTGGCTCCCTACCTTGACCGCAATGACTTGGCCACAGTGATCCATGCGACGGTCACCTTGAGGTTAGACTACTGCAACGCTGTCTACATGGGGCTGCCTTTGTCGCAGATCCAGAAGCTGCAGCTGGTGCAGAATGCAGCAGCCAGGCTGTTGATGGGTCTCTCTAGGTGAGATCACGTCCAGCCTGTCCTGAAGGCGCTGCACTGGCTGCCAATAGCGTACCGGGTCTGCTTCAAAGTGCTGATTCTTACCTATAAAGCCCTTTATGGCCAGGGTCCAGCTTACCTACGGGACCGCCTTTCCCCATATGTTCCCCCAAAGGCACTACGGTCGGGGGCATAACATCTTCTGGTCGTTCCAGCCCCGAGAGATGTTAAATATGCTGCGACTAGGGCCAGGGCTTTTTCACTGGCGGCTCCTATCTGGTGGAACCAGCCCCCGGAGGAGATCAGGGTCCTGCGGGACCTTATGCAATTCCGCAGGGCCTGCAAGACGGAGCTCTTCCACCAGGCTTTCGAGTAGGAGCCGCCACCGTCACTGTATCACCACCACGTTGCCATCTCTGGCGATGCGAACTGGCCTTGGGAATGGAAAACGGACAGCGTAGACCGATCAAGAAGAGACAGCAGTACCTCTGAAACATTGCACTGGAGTCCCCGTCTTGGATGATATATTGTTGTGAGCACCAATTTTAAGTGTATAATGTAATCTGTTTGTTTTATCTGGTTTTAGTGTTAAGTATGGCAATTGCCTCTTGTTAGCCGCCCTGAGCCCATGCGGAAGGGCGGGATATAAGCCTAATAAATAAATAAATAAAAGACCATACATGTGCACCACAGCTTTTCTGTCCTCTCTTCCACATTGTGGCCTCTGTGCCTCTTGAAAAGTTGGTCTTGAATCTCAAGGTGCCATCCAAAGTGGCATGTGCTGTGGTGCAAGAGGTTGTAACTGGAAAGGAAAATTGGTACTTGCATGAACACACACCTCCATACACCCCCGCCCGTGTGTACCTGGAACATTTGCTGCATGCAAGTGGATCTTTGAATTCCAGTTAATCTCTTTAAAATACACACAATAGTGTACATTAAAAACATGCACTAACAATGCTAGGCTTGAAATCCAGTGTTGTACATGTGAGTTTTGGCAAGGTACTTGAGACATTTCTATATTGTGCAGTGGCTTCTCTACACATTTTTTCACCATAGCTGACTATTAGTGCGGTCCTGAGCAGACATGCACCCGTCTAAATCCATTGACTTCGGTGGACTTAAAAGGGTGTACCTCCATTTAGGATCGCACCATAGATGTATAGGTTCCAGGGGGAATAATTGCCCTATTTATCCATCACATTTTTGGCTCCAACTTCCTCCAAGAAGCAAAAGGCAACATACCACGAGTGGCTTCTTCTCTCCTCCATTTTGCCCTCAGAGTAATCTTGTAAAATAGGTTAGGCTGGGCAAGAACTACTGGCCCAAGATCACCCAGGAAGCTTTGTGGCTAAGGAGGGATTTGAACCCAAGTCTTCTTGGTCCTAGGCAATCAGTTATGCCACACGGGATCTTGGAGAGAGCAGCAGGATATGGGGAGCTAAACAGTTTCATAGGTAGGTCCCATCCCCTTCATTGATGAGTAAAGTTGGCATGTTTGTATTTAGCTGGTGCTTTTCTTTTGTTCTAAAGCACCCCATGTAACAAATGAAGCCAAGAGATATATACAGATTGGATGGTGAGAAACACTTCATGTAAGAGCTTATATAAGATGTCTTTTACATAGCTTGCGGGAGAAGACCTGAGTCGTGGGAGGGCTCCAAAATGAGATTCAGTGTTGACGTTCATTGCCAGCGCCATCTGCTTTCCTGTTCTCACATTTTTAGAATATAGCTACTACTTCATTAAGAGCTTGGAGGGGAGCCATACAATGGTTTCATGGAGACTGCTGAACTGAGGCCTAGTAGTAATTTCTATTAACTGCTCCTCAGGATTGGCATATCCCACCCCATCTCAATTTGGAATAGACTTTTTTTGGTAAAGCAAATAACTTTCCAAAATACTAGAAAGCAAATCATTTGATTTCCAAGAGTGTTCTGGAGTCCATGTTCCATCTCAATTTAAGTAAGATAACTGGAAACACTAGAAGCCCCAGTGCCTCTGTGCTACCCTACTCCCTTTCCAGAAAACCTACCAAGCAATATTATGGCAACAAAGGGAGGCGGGCACTTGCAATGGAGAAAGTTGGCACTCGAGACTTCATTAGACCCTAGAACGGTGCTGCAGTAGCATTGTGGGCATGAGGATTCTGGCAAAAGAGTTTGTAAGGATCTGAGAATCCAGGGGAATGATTTTTTCCATGGTCTTAGTGCCCAAGACACTTCTGCAACGGCTTTCTAGGTTATAATGGCGGCATGATGGCCAACCATTTTTGGTGCCACTATCACTTTTGCCAGACCTATTTGAGTGGGAAAGGGAGGGTTGGATCTATGTAATTAGTACTTAAAAAAAAAAAATCCCACTCTACTAGAGAACTCGGAGTTCTCCCTTCCCAGTTTTTTTCCCTTAACAACCCTGTGTAGTACGTCATGCTGAGAGTATATGACTGGCCCAGTGTCACTCAGTGAGCTTCATGGCAGTATGTGGATTTGAATCCAGTCTTCAATATGCTCCTCTGGTTCTCTAACCTAGGGGTCCACAGCCTTCTTGAGCCTGACACAGCATGGTGTGCGCAGCCACAAAATGGTTGCCACAGCTTACTTTCAGTCACTTAGTGAAGAGCCTTGTGCTGTGATGGTAGCTGCTGCTCAAGCAATGTTCTTAAAAATCTGCACAGCCAATCAGCAGCCTAGCTGGGCAAAAGCCCCACCAACTTTCTAGAAACACTTGGTGGATGCTAAGAAAGGTGTTGGTGGATGCCATTGTACCACAGGGGACCCCTCCTCTAATCATTATACCTGACTGACTCCTTGGAGCTCCCTTCCCCAACTTTAGAGATGGTTTGCACTCTACTCTAATGGGCTTAGGATTCTGACTGGAGGAAGTCTGGTTTTGAAATGCCGTCCTGCCCCATTTCTGAAACTTACTACCATCGCTAGTTACCTGTTTATGCCAACCTCGAACCTGTGACTGAGGAACAAAAGATGCATCCATTACAGGTCCCCTGAGCTACCAACTCTCATTTATCCAACAGCTTCCTAATGCATCTATTATGAATCGTATATTCTCTTTCATATACCTCTTTGGTACAAAGCCTGCTTGATCCGCGTGTATTAAATTTGGTATATATTTTCTTAGTCTTTCTGCCTTTACTGTGGCAAAAATTTTATAATTCAGTAGAGAGATAGGTCTCTATGACTGTGTTTTCAGAGAGATGGCCCTAATTATCCTTGATATATATAATTATGTTACATAATCCCTCTTCTCCTTTTTGTATCCCCTCTATACTGTTACTTTGTTTTCTAAAACATATATCTGTATATATCTATATCAAAAGCCCTTAGGGTTCACTGGCAGTAATGACTTGCTGCATAGGGGCATTAAAGCAAATGCATTTGTTAATAATAATAATAATAATAATAATAATTCCGATTTATTGATCGCTTTCCCACACACACCTGTGGGCTCAGAGCGATTTACTCATGACATTTGGACTAACAATACTCATGGGAGATAGGGAAGACAACATACAGTATTTTTAATTACACACACATTGTAGCTGACCGGAGGATTCATCTGTGGGCTGGATCAGTTGTGTTCTGACAGCATGTATTCTTGTCGGCTGGCTGATGACGTCAGGGCTTCTTGATGTCGCACTGCCACCGCCTGGTTGACTTGCTCCACTGCAGGGATGCCGAAAAAGATCTTTCATCTTTTGATCTTGCCACGCCACAGAAGTCACACTTGGCAGCTAACACCTTCCCAAAGGGAGTGGTGTGCCCACCCTCTTATGGGTGGTCCCCAATTTATCTACTTGCCGAAGCTTTTAAATCTCTGGGTAGACGATGAGCTAGGACAAGGCTTGGTTGCTCACACCAGCACGGGGCTAGAACTGACAAAGCTTGGCAGTTCAGATGTTATAGTTAAGCAGGGGAATTATCCCCTGCGCCACCGCTCCCTTCCTGCATAGCCTGAAAAACCATGCCCCCCCCCCAGCATGGAAGTTAAGTTCATTTTCTTCTTCTCAGTGATCTGTATACTTAGGTAATGGTAGAAGTGTTGTGTTTAAAAATGCTGAGAAGCTGATGTAGATGCAAGGGCCCTGTTATGATAGTATCAGATTCTTTCGTCTTGAGCCTGGTGACAAAGCAATGGTCTGTGTGCATTGTCCTAATTCCAGGCACAGATTTGGGTAACAGGCTATTTAAATACACATTGAGAATGGCCATTAGAGTAATCTAAAGATGTGCTCATTTAAAAACTTCATACTACCTTCAGCTTGACCACAAAACACTTCTGAGCAGAATAAGATGTTACACATTATCTCTCAAAGATGCTCAGGGACCAGCAAATCTCCAGGTGACAGGAGCTCAACTGGCCTATAAATGGTTTTAGCTTGAAATGAGTTGTAATAATAGGTGGGAGGGGAGCAACTTAATGGGTTGGATCCACTGATCAGCATGCACAAGGACTGTGGTTCTTTTCTGCTTTAATAGTATGTACCATAGCGGTCGGCAACTGATGGTTCTGGGCCAAGTCTGGCCCCCTGAGTAATGGCAATTTGTCTACTTCTCCATTCCCTCTAGTTCACAGCCAAAAGGAGAAGAAAGATGTGGATGAATAATATATGTGACAATGGAACTGGGAGCAACCTCCCTAGTGGAGTTGGGTCACTGCGATCTGTACCACCAAAAATACTCCCATAGACTTTAGCAAATCTGGCTGTTAGTTCACACTTGGTTTGCTGAGAGGGCAGATAGGTGATCTCCTTTTCCATTTACATTTTAAAATCAGCCCCCATAGTAGAGCCTTTTGAGACCCTAACTATTCTGTAGATATCCCCACCCTTCTAGGTAATACCTGGATCTGGCAATCCAGAGGCGTGAGGCTCACGGGTCTTTCCCTTGTTCCCCTCCCTTCAGCATTCCTCTCCAACTGTGAAGAGTTGGTTCTGAAGGTTGTGGGACTGCATGGTGTAATAGCTGCAGAGGTCAGGGGGCTGCCCTTAGGAGGGGAAGTGGGTGGAATTGTCCCTCTGTGCAGCTCCGCCTTTTGCTGCTTAGAAAGCCAAAGTAACTTCTTGTTTACTCGTTGCCTTTGCTGATTCCAGCAGTTGTGAGGCCAGTTTGAGAATTATGTGTAGGTCCAAACTTTCCTGGTAGGAAAAATAATTTATTGCCTCATCACTTGAACCAGCTTGTGTGTTTTGATCTTAGGAAGAGAGACATTTTTTTTTATTACAGACTGAAGCTGTGTTTTCAAAAAAAGAGCTGAGAGAAGGAAATAATGTAACTTGTCTTGCAAAGCAAAAAACTGAGCACAACACATTTCAGACTGGGGCAGGCAATTACTAGAGATCCACAACCTGATTGTTTGAAGTGAATGAAAAGCAATTGAGAGTAAATCAGGGATTCTTCTAAATCATTGTTTCCTGAAGATGTCACTGTTAGGCAGGCACTTGAAAAGATTGTCTGATAAAAGCTAGTGGTGAAAGAGCAGCAACTTAGGTAGACTAGAATAGCTGGCTCATTAGGAAAGTCTTCGCAGCTTCTACAGAGAAATCATTTGAACTTTTTAAAAGGGCTTAAAAAAAATTGTGAGTGACGACAACTATGGTTCCTTTTCTCTTATTGAAGCAAGTTGTGATTTTTATTGCAAGAACAATGCAAAATGTCCCATAATACCTCTCACAGTAGTGGGCTATGTACCTTCCCATCTGTTACCATCCTTGCATTTGTCCAGCCGTTTTGTTCAACAAAGTTTGGCGCTGACCTTCAACTTAAACAACTTCTCTGCTGGCATTAGAGCTACTTAAGTTGGAGGATGGCTCCTTGGACTGGAGGAAGGCTTCAGACTTTGCTGAACAGACTGGCTGGATGCACGCCTCTGTTCATGAATTGTGGTGCTTCATATGCTTTAAAAAAAAAAGAGGTAAGTGGAGAGGAAAAAGAATCAGGAAGAGGGAGGAAGTCAGACAGGAGACAGGGAGTCGTTTTTGCAAATGAACAATCCTGGGACAGATCTTCATATGCTTTGAGGTAGCCCTTCAGGCTCCACTGATTCCCTCAATTGCAGTACATTGTTCTGTTCTGAAAAGCTAATTTTATATGGTTGACAGATGAGACTTGTATGCTGCCTTTTGCTGTAAGATTCTCCAAGAGATTGTTAGTATGTCATCTTACCATTCATATGGGAAACATTTTTATTAACATACCATCAGTTTGAGGGTGAGTGGCTGTCACTAATGCTCAAAGAAACAGGCTGTGTGGATGGAATATAACATAGGTTTGCAGAATGAAGGTGAGGTTGTCATCCACAGGAGCACTTATCCACAGGTGCCCCAGGTGCCCCAAGCTCCCCATCATTATATCAGGAGCACTTTAAGTGCAACTGTGCTGTGTTAGAACCCGATTTAAACACTCAGGAGCTGGAGATCTTCAGCCTCATGGATACCCGTCTGTAGGTGGAAGCAGTCTTATAGTTTGTTTTCTCTACTGGGGTAAGCCTCAGTGTGAGTGTTTTCAGACTGTGTATTCTTTTGTCCATCTTGCCTCTGAACTAAGCCTTAGACATTAATGGCATCTGTCCTGCCCAGCAACTAGTCAACAAGCTGTCAAGACTAGGGATGGGCACAAACTGCATTTTTGCAGTTTGGTTTGTGGCTGAATCAACCCATACAAACCAGGAGGTTGGTTAGCGAACTGACACTGTTTGAATCAGTTCCTGAGCCATTAAAAGTTTAAACCCCTTCTTTCTGCTCCCCACAGCTTTTCCAAAAAGCTGAGTTGTTAAGAGCAAAAAGCAGGGGTGAAACCCTGTTTTCTACTCTTCACAAACCTCCACAAACTGCACCAAAATTAATGGAAGTTCGTGATGGTTCTTCAATTAATGAACATTGCTTCAAGAACCACAAACTGGCCAAAATTTGTAATGAACTTTAGTTCGCCAGTCGGTTTGTGACCATCCCTGGTCAAGACCCAGTGTAAGCAGGTGGGTAGTCAGCCTTTGTCAGCAGTGTTGATGTTTGCCAGATAGCTTGTGGGAATTTTTCTGAGCTGATGCGTATATACACACACACACGTGTCTTATAACTGTATTCTTAACTTTTGTTTTAGATCTTTCCAAAGTGAAGCTGATGAGGTTTGATGACCCCCTCTTGGGACCTCGTCGTGTTCCTGTGCTTGGAAAAGAAGATGCTGAGAAGACTCCCATTTTAGACCAAGCTGTCTTTCACATAGACCTAGCTGGCAAGCAGGTTCGCCTCACTGAGAATGGGCGAACAACAGATATTGGGGATACACTAGTCTATGTTGTTAATTAGGACTGGGACAGAGCTGCATTGATCACTGATGAATCTTCAGGTGACATGGAAGAGTTTTTGGAAGAGTTTTGAAAGCAGTAGAGGACCGCAGCGAGTTTAATGGCTGGGTGTAAAAAAAAAATCCATACAGATTAAGCTCCTTCAATATTTAAGTATGGGTATAATAAACATTTTTTCCATCCCTGTGGCATTTAAAAAATTATCTTTGTAACTAAAACCAAGAAAGAAATTTTTCATACATTTTAAAATGTGTATGTGCATGCGTGCGGGTATATAGCGTCCACTGCATACAGGAGGCAATATAGCACTTCCGTTTCTTTATCTTTCTGGACTTTGGTTGAGGATGCCAGGAAATTCACTGCTGCAAGATGGTGAAGCCATACTATCCCTTCCAGGGGTTACCTAAGTTTACTGAGGAGCCTCTTCAGCAGGGGTATCTATAGCTGTTGCTTGCCTTCAAAACTAAAGTGTATTGGAAGTACAGTCATGGTCCCTGCTGCGACCTGATGAAGTATCATCCATACTCAAAGCAAAGTGCGGTCAGAGGAAAGCAGCGGAGAGACCCATGTTTCCCCTGAGTTGGTAGAACAGAAGCTTTTGGGAGTCAGAGTTCCATTCTTCAGATACATAGAAGGGAGCTTTGAATCTTGAAAGCATAGAGCCTGGAAATCTTTTTCATCTCGTAAGGTGCTACTGGACTCGTTTCTAACTGTTCTACTGCAGACCTGCATGGCTACCTTCTGAAATTGAGTTGGTAGGGCAATCTCTCCCTTTCCAGCACAATATGACTTAGATATGACTGTGTCAAAACCTGTCTTCCAGCTATCTGCTACTATTAGTACCAGCAGAAGAGCAGAGACTCTGGGCACTGTCTTTCTCCCTTTCCTGTTGCACTCAGCTCAAAATGAAGCTCTAAGCCTGGAACTGGATAAGTAATGATTCTAGGTTATGAATGAAAAGGGAAGGACAATTGTGCTGCCATTTTGGAAAAGTGATGGTAAAGGAGCTGGAACTTGGCTGTCATCAACATAACCATGTGGGGGGGTCTCTCATTAACTCACAGTCACACACATGCGCCAAAAGGTGTTTGTTGTAGCAAGCTAGAATCCCTTCAAAAGAAAAAAAAGTGATATTAGCTGTCATAGGCCAGAGTTTACTCCCTCAGCTATATTATATAAATTCTAAAACCAGATTTTGTATTATTGCTACTTCAAAATATGAGATGGTTTTCAACAAAAGTTAGTTTGCCACTTAGAAGAGTTTTGAGATGATGGCTCTTAGCAAAAGGACACATGGTAGCTCCCGTTACCTTATCACCTAACAAATATTGGAATAACAGACAGGATTTTTTTTAAACAGACTGCTTGTTTAGTGTTCTTTCTAAGCACTTTTTGGAGTAGGAAAGATGAAAGATCTTTCCACAAATTGCTTAAACTTTACTGCCCTCCAGAGTTTATCGTGAGTACTTTCCATTGTTTGAGAAATGGGATTGATCATTGAGCGGATAATGCTGCTGTTGTGTTAGGAAGCTGAAGTGGGATAGCCACTTGAAGAAGAATGTAACAGTGAAAAGGATTTTTGTTGTCTTCATCCCATTTAAAATGGGTTTTGTACTAATAAAATGGTGCCACCTTTGGTATTTCTGTATAAATTGGAGCTAGGATAGTCCCCTCTACCCCTTGCCCACAAACTGTATTTGCCAGAGAGTTCAGTCATTGATTATCGCCAATGCCTTGAGACTTGTGTTTAGTCTGTCACTGTTTCTTAGCTGACAGTAGTCTCGCTGAAGTGATGGATAAATGCTCCGTCTCACACATTTAATCATGAAGGGCCTTCTTCAGACAAACTAAGAAAAAACCTACATCTCTTGAAAACAGAGGGTAAATTTCCCCCCGCATCAATTTAACCAATCCGATAGATAAATTTTGAGTCTGACCCACAGTGCTCCTTTTTCATTTGCAGAGGTCAAGCAGACCAATTTGGAGAAGGCTTTGGGGCAGTGTACTTACTCCACTTTGTCCCTCAGCTCTTTCTCTAGCTGCTTAGTGCCATGGTAAACAAAAAAATAGTCTTTCTAGTGCTGTCCTTCTCTGCTACCCCCCCCCCCCATTGGGGGGGGGAATGTCCCACTCAGCCCTGAATGTTATGCAGATCCCATCCCATTCCTATTTATCCCCATGCCCTGGCAGTCTTACGGCTTCTGGTGATAGGCGGGCTCAAAGCCCTGTGAATCATAAAGCTGCCACCACAGTGGGATTTCAGTCAGCGAACTCAAGCCCTTATTTTCCGTTTTCCTCCAGTTGGTTCTCTTCCCACTGGTTTTTTTTTTTTAAAAAACCCTGAATGCATTAGGTGTCAGCTACTTGGAGGTCACAATGTGATGGTAAGAGGGAAAGTTGGTACTGAATTTCTTAATGTTATGTCTGAAGGCTTTTTAAAAAACAAGACAGGCCCCCCCCCCTCTCCTTTGCCATTGCTGAGATCTTTTGGTCATACATCTCTCAGCTCCCGAAGTGTGACTGCTGTCAAAGTTTACTTCTTTAACCAATTTCTTTCTAGTTTAGAAAAGGAGAAGAGGGTACAAGCCTCCTTCCTCTTTTCGCTTTCTCCTTTTCAACACTTTGATCAGTCTCTCTGCAGCCAGCCAGGCTGCCTTCTGGCATCTAACTATAGCATGCTAGTAAGAAAATGAGCAGTTCCAGCTCTGCAATTACACTGTCTGCTGAACGCCTGCCTTTGGAACGCAGAGGGGGACCCAAACTGAGTATGGAGAACAGATTACAGCCAGGGCAAAAAGCTAACTGTGCCTTGTGGCTGTAAGAGCTGCCAGAAATGAAAGAGTCCTTGGCCAAAATCCCCTCTTGGCACAAAAAGCAGCAAGAAATGTAATGCGGCTTTTCAGACAATCGATGGTGAGAAGCAGCAATGTTCTGAATGTGTTATTCTCTGTAAGAATAAAATCAGTATTTTTAAAGAAAGAGGTGTGCAATCCCCCACCCCTTTTTTGGTTTGGGTTTATTGAGCTGAAAAAAAATGGGTTTCCAAAAGAATCCTAGATCCCAATACCAGTGTGGTATTCGGATCCGAGATTTTTCAGAAGTCCTGATTTTTTTCTGGGTCCAATAGACCCAAGAACAATAAAATGGGTGGGGGGATTGCACACCAGAAGCTGTGCCCACGGGGAACACTCTGCTCCCTGTGGGCACAGCTGATCCGAGCTGCAAGAGGAGTCAGCCCCAGCTGAGGCTGATGCTGGGCTGACTTCTCTTGCAGCCCAGTTTAAAGCAGGAGAAGGCAGCCAGCCCTGAGCCAGCAGGGGCTGTCTTCTGCAGCCTCTTTAAAGTTTAAAGGTACTGTAGAAGCCTGACAAACCGCTGAGAGGCGGGAGCAATCTGCTCCTGCTGGTTTTGGATCTACTGGTAATTCCTAAATATATCCGGGATTTTCTTGGGGGTTTTCCCAAGAGAACCCAGATACATTTGGGAAGCTGAAATATACCTGAAAAATATCAATAATGTATTTTTTCGTATATATTTGCCTCAGATTCAAATGCACACCCCTAATAGCAACATACTTACAAAGATTTCCTACATTTCTCTGTGAAAGCCACCTAATGCTGCCTGCCTAGCTCGTTGGGTTATTTCTCCATCCTTTGTGTCTGTATCGTATTCACTCTTCTTGTAACCCATTTGCTCTCCTTGTTACCCATTTGAAGATGTTCCTCGTTTCACATGCACATTCAAAATTAACTTTTGATACAATGCAAAAAGCGCTTGAGGAAGAAAAGGTCATGTTGGTACAAGCAGTGGAGAGTAAAGGAAAAACACTGGCTTTGGTAGTTGGAGAGTGCGAATAGGAGTGTGTGGGTGGGAGAACAGACTCAAATATTGGTTGTAGACCAGTATTATGGAAGGAGGTTTAGAAAAGGGAGCCCCTAGTAATGACTTGTTGGATAACTGGCTAAGCCCCACTATGGCTGTGGTACCCTACAGTAGTACTGGGCAGAAGGTAGACCATAGCCCATCAGTGTTTCATTAGCTGGTTTCTGATGGACTAGCTAGCAATTGCTGGGTGCTGGAATTCTTTGAAAAGATGGCAGAAGAGGATGCCCATCATCTGAAGCAGGTTCTTAAATGGAAGAACATGCGGAGGTAGGACCATCACTCAGTGGTAGAGTACTGAGGAGCCATCTTCAGCTAAAGGCTGTTGCTGCTAGCTTCATTTATAGTCTGCCTTTCTCACTAGGAGTCAAGGCAGATTACAAATACAAGAATTAAGCAGGCAATCTAGCAAGCGAATTACAAAGCATGAGAAAAACATTTGACTCTTAACAGCAAAGATTCTTAGTAAAACAATAATGGAGTAGGGCTGAGCAGATTACAGTCATGAAAAAGACTGTTCAGTTAATCAGCAAGTGGAGTACAGAACATGATGGCACAATTCATTCTAACAGATTATTAAAACAAAATACTGCAGAGGGACTGGGATTGAAGACTTAGAAAAACAACACAAAAACAGTCTAAGTATAACAGCAGTAGGAAAGACAATGGAGAGTCCAGAATTTAATGAAGTTCCAGTCAAACTAGATAATAAGTTAGTGGAGGAGACTGACAGTTATGGATCTTTTCTCACCTGCCAATCAGCCTTTTCCAGCCTTGGGAAAGCCAATTCCTGGAGCTGCACAGGACACATTGGTAGGTGACCCACAGTGAGGAGGGGGAGAGGTGGAATTGCTCCTGCAACTTTTGGCAGTGCAGCTTCACTTCTATTTGATACTTGACAGAGGGCTTGTGACCCCAGGAATCAATGGGTGCTGCTGGGAGGGGGAAGTGGGGAAGATCCTCAGCCCTTTCATAAACAGGTGATGAGATCCACCCTTAAGTCATCCCTATCATTTACAGTTATCTTGCCATCACAGGTACTGCTCGCTCTCTCTGCATGTGTAGGAATATGCATTTTGGGGGCAGGAAACTCTGTTTTAATTATTTTTGTTGTCCACAAATGCTTTTTAAATTTATTTTTTCTTCTCCTGTCCTGTTACTTTCCCCACTTGTAGTTATGTTGGGGCTGCTGCCAGCTCAGAATCTGGTGGACCATGGAGCCCCTGCTTACTTACTTGCCTCCCCTGAGTTTAAGAGCACTTCTGTTGGTATCTGAGGCACTGTGACAGCAGTCCTAAGCAGGTCTTTGCAAAACTCTACTCAAGTCAATTAAATGGGGCTTACTCTCAGGAACATGTGCTTAGGGTTGCTCTGCTAGTCTCTTTGCACTCTGGGAACTGTAGTCATGTTAGTGACAGGTACCCTGAGGATCAGATTAGATGAGAAGTTAAGCCCCAACCCAACTTCCATTTAACGTGGGACTGGCACTCACCTGCAAAATAATGTGTGTCGGGGGGGGGGGGATAGTCTCCTGAGCACATGTGCGTGGAGGCACGAGAGGAGACATGTCTTGTCTGATCAGACCCTGAGACTATAGTTCCTAGGGTGAACTGAACCATGCTGTCTTAGAGCATCCAAAATGCTGGGGGTGAAGGAGAAAAGGTAATCTTGGAGGTGCTGCTACTAGCTGTAGTTGCCCTATCACCAGCTTTGGGAGTGAAATGGATAACCTGCATGCAAATGATATATCCTCTTTCTCTTTTTTACAATATATTTATTAAATTTTTAAGCATAATAAGACAAACATATAAACACAAATTTAGACAACAACATATACATGAATTGAATTTTGTATCAAGCCAAAACATTAGCTGTCAGATCTTACATCATAATACCTACTAACTCCTATACCAAAGTATTTAAAGAATTCCACATTTGAGTACACTCTTCTATTAACATTACTTATACTGACTTAACGACACCTGTTTTTAATTGTGCTATTTTTTAAAAAAAAATTCACATTGATCTTATAAATTAATTTTTCAGAGGTCATTGTTCTCCACAATATCTCCATATAGCAAAGAGAGAAGAAAAACGAAACTATCTACTTTCCACTATTCAACAGATCAACCATTCCAAAGTTAAACACATTTTTACTAATAATAACCTTTAGAATTTAGATGTCTTATAACTACTTCCATCTCCCAAGACAAAGCTACTCACTCCCTTGTTTAATTCTTAACTATTTAATGCTTTCACTATTGTTTCTTTCCTTTTAATTATCAACACGTGCAACAAACATTATTATAACTCACCAACTCTT